TGCCCACTGTCAGCTCGGCCCCCACCCTGGTACATTTGCCCACAGACACGGTCTATTTTTGGATGCTGACAGCCGGGATACTCTTGGGGGAGGGGCAGTCTCAAGTCTGGGTTCACTCCAGGCTTCTGAGCAATCCAACCCCTTAGTTCCCACCCACCCACCCCCACCCTTTTTTCCTCCTCAATGAAGCAGACCCAAGACCAAAGTGGGAACAGTCCCTTGGGAGGAACAAATACCTGGTAGGTTCTTCCTGGGGCTATCCCCTAGCTGTCTAGGCCAAGGAGAAGCCCCAATTCAAACACAGATTCTGGTTGAGGGAGTTGGACAACAGATGGACAATGTGACAATGGTTTCCCAGTACTTGGGTGGGGGACAGGAACTCTGGGGTCAAGGGAGGCCTCCCTGATATCCAACTATCAGGAGGAATGAGTAAAAGAGCAAAGGGTGCCTGATGGCCAAAGCAGCACAGAAAACACCTCAAGAGTAAGGAACAGGGAGGAAGTCCAAGTAGCTAAAGCCCAGGCCAATACGGACTCAAGGAGAAGGCAGAGGGAGCCAAAAGAAGGCCTCAGACTCACATCCCAGAGGAAGATTTGGCTTTGATCCACAGAGCTGCTGTGGAAGGATTTAAACAAAGATATAATTCTGAGGCTGGCCGGTGGTGACACACACCTGTAACCCCAGCACTCAGGAGGCAGAGGCAGGCAGATCTCTGTGCATTTGAGGCCAGCCTGGTCTACAAAGTGAGTTCCAAGACACCCAGAGCTGTTACACAGAGGAAACCTTGTCTCGAAAAACCAAAAAGTGAAAAGAAACAACAACAACCAAAAAATAGATAGATATAATGCTGAATTGTGTACTCTGAATTTCAATGAAAGGACAGATTCAATGAGGCAAGACTAGACATGAGGGCCAGGCATTGGTGGCACACACCTTTAATCCCAGCTCTTGGGAGTCAGAGGTAGGCGGAGCTTTGTGAGCTCAAGGCCAGCCTGGTCTACAGAGCAAGTGCCAGGACAGGCTCCAAAGCTACACAGAGAAACCCTGTCTCTAAAAATAAAATAAAATAAAATAAAAAATAGCCGGACAGGAGGTAGAGGGCAGCTGAGTAACCACTTTGGTCATGGCTAGAGTTGGGGGGGAAGAACATGGACAGGAAAGGCCTGGGGGCAGATAAACCACAGACGTGACCTGAGAGCTTAGCGTTCTGGGCAGAATAGATAGGGAACAGGTCAAGCTAAGTCCATCAAAGGAATAAGACTTCTGCACTGTTGTGGTGTAGATGTGACCCAGAGCCAAGGACCAGAGCTTGAGGAGAAGGGAATGAAGACTAGGGCTGGATCTGTGGCAACCCCACTTCTGGTAAGTGGGGCACACAGCCTGTCCAAACATCAGTTTCCATGTGAGAAGGGAGCTACAGTGGCAGCTTTCCAGAAGGTGTTGAGGAATCCTGAATGCCAGCGTACCCACGCAAGGGCAGGGCAGTAGCTTGGTGTAAGACCCTTGGCAAGGCAGGGTTGACCCACAGACTCACTCACAAGTGGGAACGAATGAAGAGGCCCAGAACCCTTGGCTGGAGTAGGGTGCGGGTAAGTGGGTGGCTAGGTGGGACCGGGGGCTCTGAGGATAGGGGAGGCTACCCCCATGAGAACAAAGCCTTTTACTGTTTTGTTTGTTTTAGTTTTTCAAGACAGGGTTTTCCTGTGTAGCCTTGGCTGTCCTGGAACTCACTCTGTAGACCAGGCTGGCCTTGAACTCACAGAGATCCGCCTGCCTCTGCCTCCCAAGTTGGTTTTTTTTTAACCGTTTACAGGTTTATGGGGAAGTGGAGAGGTAGACAAAGCAGGCATCCATCTTAGTCAGGCTTCATGAAGAAAAGAAACAAAGATCCAACACATCAACCAAGAATGGCAATGACGAAGCAATGGGGGTCAGTTTGCGGTTAGCTACAGGGAGTTCATTGTTCCATGGGCGGGGGCTACTGGCTCTGATGATCCAGCAGGTTAAAACATACTTCAGGACTAGCACAACTGTTCAGAACTCACAGCCTCAGAATGAACCACATGAAGACACAGCCCCGGCTGCCGGAAGCATTCTGATGGTCAACAAGGCTGTTATGAGAAGCACAGGGGCAAGCCATGTGCAGTGTCCTGCCATGGGTAGGTGGGATTGGAAATGCGATGCTTTCCCTGACAGAAGAAATACACACCCACAGTGGTGACTGTACCGCTCTGTTCCTTAAGCCCTGCTCTTCTCCTTAAACCCGTATCCATAGAGACTGGAGGCTTTGGGGTGATAGAGCCAAAGTGCATAACTCTAGGTGGGGAAGAGACGCCCCTTCCAGGAAAATCCTCTTCCCACCAGCCTGAATGGAGACAGGGTTTGAAGTGAGCCCCGAGGAGGCCTTACGCCTAGAACATACCCTGACCACTGCCTGGGCTGAGAAAGTAGAGGTGGGCAGAAGATGAAACCAAGTCACTGAAGCGGGCGGGGGCTGAACTTGCAGTGTCGCTCAGAAAGGGGTCTGGGATCTGTCTCCACTTCCCTCCTGGAAGCTGCTAATAGCTTACTCAAGCTGGAGGCTAACTAGGTAGGAGGTACCAGACTCAGGGAAGCAGAGGCAGCGGACAGGACTGCAGGGGAGGGCAGGATGAGAAGTGGCCAGTGCACAATGTCCGCGTCTGGGGCGGGCGTTGGACTCACGTTCTCGTGGCGCATATGTTTGAGGAGGCGCAGCTCTCTGTAGGCGCGCTTGGCAAACAGCTCCGACTGGAAGGGCCGGTACAACTTCTTGATGGCCACCTTGTTACCAGTGCGACTGTCTATTGCAGAGCTGCGGGGCGAACAGCTTGGCTAGAGAACCCACCCCGTAATCGCCAGCCGCCAGCCGCCGCCTGCCCTGCCTGCTGCCCCGCCCGGCGAACGCTCACCACACTGCACCATAGGCACCAGAGCCAACGGGCTGCAGGTCCTGGTACACGGCGCGCACTTCCCAGGCCGTTTTGGTCACCTCCTGGCGGTAAAAGCCCTTGCGGGCGGGTGGCGGGGAGCTCATCCCCGGCTGGAGCACCGTACCCCAGGACCCGACCTAGGATCAGGGGATCCGCCCGCGCGCCCCGGGTCACTGCGTGGCAGGGCAGGCTCCGCGCTGCCTGGCCGCCCGCCCGCCTCCGGGGCTTTCCCTTACGGGCTCTTCTCTTGGGGTCGTCACCCTAAACTCCCTGTAACCGCCAACTCCCACCCGACCCTTGTCTCTGGCCAGCGAAGTGGTCCCTCCCGGTCCACTGACCAACCGGGACCCCGAGCCCTTAACACGTGACACCCCCGTCTGCCCTCCGGCCCCTGCGGAAACCTGAGGAGGCCTCCGGGGTTGGGCGGAAGGCTTGGGAAGGGAGGGCGGGGGAGCGGGGAGCTGCCCCTTAGCTCACTCGGGACCTGGGGCGGAAGGTGGCGCTGAAACACCCTGGCCGGCCTCTATCCCTCTATCCTCACTAGACTTCTCCGCCCTGGGCTCTTAGCAGGTGCTTCTCTGGATTCCAACCTTTCCTGTCCTTCCAGAACGTCGGGGCCCATTCTAGGCAACTTGAGCTCACCAACTTACTCCAGCCCAGGTCAGGTCCACCTGCCATTTACTAATCACACCCCATCCCAATTGTTTTTCCGTTCCTTGTCAACTCTTCTTTCCCAAGGATGCCCCGCCCCTGGAGCTGATCCATTCATCTCCTTCTCTATGAAGGAGGTATTTGGTTCTGTCTCCCGGACATCTCAGGTTGCATCGCAAACCCACTGTGGCCACTAGCTCTTAGCTTCCTAATCTAGGAACCGGAGGACTTGCTCATATAGGCCCTTCTAGGGCCGGCTTGCACCTCTGTTCCCAGCCCTGGTCCCTACCTGGTATTTGGAGTGCCAGCTTCAAGCAATGACTAGGACTGGCCCCTCGATCTATTGCACCTGCTACCCAGTTTAGCCTTCGAAGCCTGGAATGAGCTAAAGGTGTGCCTGCCCCCGGGAAAAAGAGGGGCTTCTATGTGAGCTTTCTCTCAGGGGATCTGGCCCAGACCTGAACCAGATGCTCCCAGAAGGTAAAGCCACCATCCTTCCCACAGCCTAGCGACCAAAGTCCATTCCAGGATCCCACTGGGTTGATGAGTAGTAACAAGATCCCCCAGAAGGCTCTTCCCCTCCCTCCATGCCTGCCTGCTGCCTGCTGCCATGAATCAGCAGCTCAAGGCCAGCCAGGGCAGCTTTGCACCTGGGCTGCTGCTGGTGGTGTGGCACATTCACAAGCAGCCACAGTGAGCAGGGGAAGCCAGGCCACTCAAACCACATCTGCCTATATCCTGTGCCCGTCATGACCTTCACGCCTCTGGCTACCCACCAATATCCTCCAAAATCTCTCCAGCCCCCTCCCTCTATAGGGGACTAATTCAGACCAGGGTTTTGGAACTAGGGTCATGTATTTGATTCTACTCCCCCTCCTGATCCCCAACACTGGACTTGGCTCTGGAGGTCCAAGATTCAGGACATGGACATGATACATGAGTTGGCTGTACCCTGGGCTAAAGTAGCCTTTTTGCCTTAGCCAGGAAGGAAAGGAAAGCTATTTCCCATATCCTGTCCAATCCCTAAGGAAGAACTGGCCCTTACTCCAGAGACAATTCCACCTCATCACCCCACCTCAGAGCCAGCCTCATCACTGAGTAAGAGGGAGCCGAGCCTGCCTGCTGAATCCCAGTGCCCATAAAACACTAGGGACCAATGTGGGATGGCTATCACACCATTTTTCCCTCGTAACCTGTGGGTCTTATCCTGCACTGGCCTCCTGGGTTCTTGACCCCTCTACAGAGTGGGGATATGATGGTACCAGAAATGGCCACTGCTCTCACTGAGTCATCAAGGGGGACTAGCTGGAAGTGGACCACACACAGAGATCAAACAACCCATCCCCAGGCAGCAGGAGCAGCAGAAGCAATGGGGTCTGGAGTCTTCCACACAAGAGCAAGAGGAAAACCCCTTTATTGTGCACCCTTGGTGCAGGCACTTGACATTCTGAGCCCCCTGATCCCCGACAGCAAGAGATCACCGTATCTTCAGGGAGGAGCCACACCCCCAACATGTCTTCAAACAGGGTCCTACCTCAAAAGTTACTTGGTCAGCTCCTCTCTGGGGAAAAGGGAGATATGGGGTGACTCACTGACCACAGCACACCAGCTGTAGCAGCTATACAAGGGTAGGTGGAGGTAGAATATGGGCAGACATTTGTCAGCTTTGAACCAAGGTCCAGGGGCAAGAACGTCCAAGTTCACATCCATGGGTGCTGTCCACCTAGCATCCTTGAGATTAGACCCCCCCACTTCACCAGATTCCCAGCTGGCCTTGTGTCCTTGTGCCCAGGATCCTGCAGCAACCCTACACCCTAGCACAAAGTCCTGGTTTTCGATCAGACGAATGGATCTTGGCACCTCTCAGAGCAGTAGTCTAGTTCACAGCTGGGTCTCAAGACCCATTAGGCAACAGGAACTTGGGGGAGGGGAGGCAAGAGTGTCTCCATCTTAGGTGCCCTACCAGAAATGGCTGCTGACCCTTAGGTGCTCATACACACCAGCACATGCCTGCATGTGCTCTGATGTGCGTACCAGTAGTATGCATTCATGCCCATTTGCCCACATGTCACAGGCAAACAAAGCTGCAGCCGACTTTTCAGATTAGATATCTGGTGATGGTCTTTGCCTTGCCACCACCAGGGGAAACTCCACCCCACTGGATGGGGGCACTGGCCCTGCCTCAGCTCTCAGCCACACACTTCCAGGTTGAGCTGCTCCAACCACTGTGACTCCCACCCCCTGAGTCTCCAGGGGCCATGGCTCCATTTGCCTCCCTCCCAATCCAGATAGTTCTCAAGAGCTGAAGTGATCCAGACAGGGACACACTCAGATCCCACACACTGAGGTCCCAAGGAGAACCTGGGTGGACCAAGGTAGGCCCAGAAACACTACCGCCCAGGCTCCAACACATAATGGCAGGCATATGTACACATTCGTGTGTGTGTGTGTGTGTGTGTGTGTGTGTGTGTGTGTGTGTGTGTTGTAGAGTACTCTCAAGGCAAGGGGTCCCAGGTTAAGTGTCAGGGCTGCCTGAGAGGCACCTTTTGAGAAAAACTTGAGAGAGCCAGGAAAGAGGGTTCAAGCCTCCCCCCTCAGACAATGCCTCACTGTTCAATCTCATGGGTGCCAGGTAGTTGTGATGGCTCCAGGGGCTTGAAGCTAAGGACTTCCTGGTAAGTTAGCTCTAGGGAAATGAAAAGAAGGGGTAAGATTGTGCTGTTGCCCATCCCCCCCACAACCCAGTTCCCCATTTACATGTGTGGCATCTGCTCCCCAGCCCGCATCTACCACTGCCTAAGCCGAAAACCAGAGCCTGCCCCACACTGTCCTCCAAGCCTCTCCTCTCTCTCTCTCTCTCTCTCTCTCTCTCTCTCTCTCTCTCTCTCTCTCTCACACACACACACACACACACACACACACACACACACACACACACACACGCCTTTACATGTCTCACTCCGGAGTACAGGCATGTTGTTGTTTCCCCTCCCAGGCCACTTGGGGACAATTTCTGGGAAGTTTCTTGCATGAAACAGGTAAAATCTTGCTCTGAGAAAATGCAGCCCACAGACTTCTTGGGCTTGTCGCCCTCTCTCATGCCCCCTGCCCTGTGCTCGCTCACCCTTCCACTCCTCCAATGTGCGCTCCTTGGCCTCAACACTTTCATCATAGGGCTCAGCCTCTGGCTCATCATCAGGGTCATGGTACTGGCTGAAGTATGCATGGGCCAAGGCTTCAGTTGCACTGACCCTTTGGTCACTGTCTAGCACCAGCATCCTTCCAAGGAGGTCTACAGCTACAGGAGTGAGGGTTAGCACCACATCCAGTCTTGGATCTGAAGCCCAACCAAGACCCGGTATCAGTCCTCACCCAGAGGGTTGGCTCCGTGGAAGACACTGCTGAGGTCCTTCTGGGGCATGGGGGGCAGAGACTGGATGTATGTCCGGGCCTGGGGACACATAAGAAGGACTTGGAGGGCTAATTATCCTCTATTCCCATGGCCCCATACTGGAAAGAAGGCTTCAGGAGACAGCCCTGATGCATCCATTCCAACAGGCCTGGCAGGTGCCCCAGCAAGCCAGAGTCTTGCTCTTGAAGTCTGGGGGCTCCCTAGCTGGGTGGTGGTGGTGGTGCACACCTTTAATCCCAGTACTCAGAAGTCAGAGGCAGGTGGATCTCTGAGTTCAAGACCAGCTTTGGTCTACAGAGCAAGTTCCAGGACTCCTGTGACTACAGAGAGAAATCCTGTCTCCAAAAACAAAACAAAAACCACGAAAAGGTCTGGGGACTCCAGACCTCCACTTGGCTTCTGATGATGCCTGCAGAAGCCAAATGTCCAAAGCTTTTTCTCCCCTCACCTGACTCCGCTGTCTGTAGCCAAAAGAGTTTGTCAGTGTTGGTAGCTTTGTCTTCACTGTCTCTCCTACCTGGAAATGTCCTCCTGGTTCACCTACTTCCCCCTGAAGTGGTTGGCTTTCTAACACAAGCCCTATCACACTCTGTCCATGTCCCCCATGTGATGCCATTTATCTGCATTCCACCCTCTCCCCAGCATGACCGGTACTTGGTCAGCAGAACCAACAGATGGATGGATGGATGGATGGGTGGATGGATGGATGATGAATGGATGGCCACTAACTTACATGCTCTGATGATATCTTCGCCAGAACCTCAGGGCTGGGTGTGCCCACCACCTCCATGATTCGCTTCAGCTGGTCAATGTCTACTTAGCTTAGGAAACACCTGGTGCGGAGCTGTGTGGTTCAGGACAGGGAGCCCCACGTGGCATGACATAAGAATTAAGACTTCAAAAGAGGGCCGGAGACCACCCCTACCCTGTAGAATGGGACCCTGGCTTGACCCATCCCCAAGGATACAGTCGTTTCCAGGAAAGAGGGCCTTTCCTTGAATCAGCTCAGCCATGATGCAGCCCACAGACCAGATGTCCACTGTTGGGGGAGAATAAGGAGCTACTATCAGCCTGCCACTCCAAATCCTCCCCGTGATGCTGGGGCGGGGGGAATCCTGCCCAGTGACCCTCAGTCATATCCAGGACCAAGGAGACCAGTAGAGCCCTTACTCTATACCCCACCCTGAGAAGAGGTATGAGGATGCCCACCAAGCTAGAAGCCTTTCTAAAAGCTGGTCCCACCCAGAGCTCCACGCATGCTCTTCTCCCTTTTAGCCCCTCTCCCCACCCCCACGATTTGTCACCTTCCCTAAACATTGGTGTGAGCACTGCCTGCCCACCCTTATAGTACAAGGCCACTGTTGAGGGTCGATGGCACCTGTCTGGTTGTAGTGCATCCAGTTCAGCATGATCTCCGGCGCCCGGTACCAACGTGTGGCCACATATCCAGTCATCTCCTCATCCGCCTGGCGCGCTAGCCCAAAGTCCAGGATCTGGAGGATCGTAAGTGTTACGCAACTTCTTTGTGCGGCCTGCTTCTCTGTACATCCTCGCTGTTCATACACCCCCACCACCATCCTTACCCTAAGCTCACAGTCTTCATTCACCGCTACATTGCTGGGCTTCAGGTCCTGCAGGGTAGACAGGGTGTGAGGGAGGCAGCCATGAGCCCGGGCAGAGTGAATGACCCTCACCCTCGCCCACAGCTGCACCTACCCGGTGGATGATGCCTGCCGAGTGGATATACTGCAGGGGAGGGCACACCGGGTGAGTCCAGGCTCCACCCCGTTCTGCCCCAACCCAGCGCGGTCGAGGCAACCCCAGAGCCCATGCGCCCCACCTTCAGCCCACGTAGCAGCTGGTAGACGAGGAACTGAACATGTTCATCGCTCAGTGCCTGACACTTGACGATGTTATTCAGGTCAGCGCCCATCAGGGTGGTCACCAGGTACCTGTGCCAGGATCAGGAGTTAGGACAGTGTCTCACTACACCCTCCCCGACTAAGCTCCCCAGGCCATCGTCACGCATGCCCAGGCCGCTCACACTTCGCTGAAATCCTCGATGGATGTGGCCGGCGTGAAGACGTCCAGAAGCCCTATGATCTGGACAGGGAACCGAGGCGGGACCACAGCACAGCTGTAGGCAACGCCCCACTGATCTGGGCCCCGCCTATACGGAGGCGTACCCTCTAGAGGCCCCACCCCACCCACTTCGCTCCCGCCCCCACCGGGCGGGGTCCGTTGCTCAATCCCTACACCACTGGCCCGCCCTCTCACGTTCTCGTGCTTCAGGTGTTTGAGTAGGCGTAGCTCCCGGTAGGTCCTCCTTGCATGGATCAGAGATTGGAAAGGGCGAGACAGCTTCTTCACAGCCACCTTCTGGCGCAGACGCGCGTCGTAGGCTGAGCTGCAAGGTGGGCGAGTGAGGCGATGAGCGAGCGCCTGGCCCAGAGTCCACCCTGCACCGGAGAGCAGGAGCAAGCCTCCGCTGCGCACTCCAAGACCTAGGAGGCCTGTCCCTGCCTGTTCGCTCCGCGCAGTCTTCACGCCGCCCCTCTTGGACCTCCCTTAGGTGACCCCCTTGAGTAGACTGAGCGTTCTCTGTTAGAGGTTTTTTGTTTTGTTTTGTTGTTTTTATCTTTTCTTCTTGACAAACCTAACCCTCCACTCACAACGAGGCCGTTGCATGGACAAAACGCTACAACTATGCCCATAAGCACTCCCTCAGCTAGCAGTCCTCCTTCCTCACGGACTTGGAGAACAAGGGAGGCTTGCCTACAAAGCCACGGACGCCCCACTGCCACGCCCCCGCACCTCAGATTGCGGAAGGAAGAGGTGTTTATTGCATCCTAATTTATAACTGAAGCTGGACGTGGTGGTTCATGCCTGTAATCCCAGCTCTTGGGAGACTGAAGCAAGATTACTGAGATGACTTCAAGACTAGATGGTGAAACACTTTCAAAACCAAAACAAAAAACCCACACACAATTTATTACTGAGTAACTGGGTGGTAAGAGACGTTCATCCCGTGTGGGTTGGGGGGGTCTCTGGCCCACTACCACCACCCCCCTCTCGACACTGGAGGGCCCTCCACCTCTGTACCCTTTTTGTTTGGTTGGCTTTGGGTTTTGGAGACAGGGTTGTCTCTGTGTAGCCCTGGCCGTTCTGGCACTCACTCTGTAGACCAGGCTGACCTCGAACTCACAGAGATCCGTCTGCCTCTACCTCCTGAGTGCTGGGATTAAAGGCATGAGCCACCACCACCAGGCTCCTCTTCACCCTTCTATCCTTTCCTGGAGAGCCTCAAATGGGCAAATGAGAACATGCCCTCTATTGGGACCTAGCCCAGCGTGATCATGAGCTGTGGTCATAGGGCTTTTCTCCAAGTTCTGGCCCCACTGCCGTCAGGGCTGGGGCAGTTATGAATCCGCTGAAGGAGCCCAGCTGGCCACAGTCTCCCCCTCTTGAGTCTTCACCTCGGGGGTGCACCCTTCCCTGCAGTGAGTGGAGACAGGATACCACCCATCCCCAGGGAGAGGGAAGGCAAGGATGTTCATGAGACTAGAAAGTAATGAACTGAAGCCAGTTCCCTGTGCTAAGCAGAGTGTCTAAGCAGCGCCTGCTGTGAGGCGTGAGGGGAGTGGCCACTGGAGCAGCAGACCCTGTTGCTCCACTGCATCTGAACACTCAAGTTACAAGGAGTTGGCATCCAATCACCAGCCTCAGTAGCGCAATTGAACAAACCCAGGCTCACAGATCAGTGGAGACCGACCTAGGCCTCACTTGGGAAAGTTGGCTATCTCCCAGCAACTCCTAGATGGTCAGCCCTGAACAAATCCATTTTAGTCCATGTCCAAACCCCCTGCAAGGTATATGCCCCACCGTTCTCTCCACCCCATCTGCTCCCACCCCCTTCCCTCCCTCCTTCCCTCTAAGTTATTGTATTATTTTTTAAGGGGATTTTGTGTAACCTCAATCCTCCTCTACTTGTTGTGGGCATTTCAGGCACAGCCTGTTTTCCTCTCTCCTGTCCCTTGGGTATTGGGGGTATCCTGTCTCTACTCACTATTGATGGGGGCACACCCTAAGAGAAAGAGAAGCAAGAAGGAGATAAGGGACAAGTGTCAGGAGAACAAGCTCATCTATCTCAGAGTTCCAGATTACGGGCCACGGGCATGGGACACAGTCCCATGACCAAGCTAACTCTGGGCCCTGTAAAATCAGGACTGGTTTCCTCTATGTTGAGTCTACACATCAGAGCCCTGCTGTGAGAGATTTGACACAGGCTCCTGATGACAGGGCCAACGACAGCATAAGATCCAAGATTTGAGTCTCAGCCCCCATTCCCAGTGCTGGGGGTGTGAGGCACACCCTTGACCAGACTGACAACGTGGACTGCCTGCACCCATTCTCTAATTCGGGGTGCCTGGGAGTTAGCTGGCTTCAACCGCGCGGTACTCTACCCGGATCCTCAAGCCCTAGCAGTGGGGCTGTACCCTGAGATCCTTTGTTGGGTAAACTGGGTGTAGACAGGATAGGTGTCTGATTTTGCTCAAGCCACTGTCTGAGACTCCCAGGATACTGGGGGAGGAGGTAGGATCCATGGCAGAGCTTGATGCTTTCCGAAGAGGAGAGGTCTCCTCACCGCGCTGGGGGCCCCCTTTTCAAACACACAAGTCTGGGGGCAGGTTAGACCCTTCAAACTACTTAGACTCTGCCCCAAATAACCCGGATGGCTGTTCCAATTTAGGGGCCCCAGAGACTTGCTCTCCCGCCAGCCAGCGGTGACGCCGCGGGATTCGGCCTTACAGGGAGAGACAAGGGATCGGAGATGGGGGTATGTTAGAGGAGCCCTCCCTGGCAACCAGTGGAATCCAGTAGGAAAGTTTCCTCCGTGTCCCCTCCCCCCCCCATTCATTCTTCAGAAGCGCGCCGGCCGGGGGCGGAGGCAGGGCGAGGCCCCTCCCCACGCCGGGAACCCCACGTCGCGCTGGAGGGTCGCGCACACTTTCCCGCCCAGCTCCCACCGGATCCTTGCCGGCCCCTACCAGACCGAGCCGTAGGCGCCGGAGCCCACCGGGCGTAGGCCCTGCAGCCGCTGCGGCACCTCCCATACTGTTTTGTTCAGCTCCTGCCGGTAGAATCCCGCGCGCGGACCCGACATATCCGCAGCGGCAGCTGGAGCGAGCGCCCCGGAGCCCCGCTCAGCACCCGGCCCGCGCCCCACGCCCAGCAGGCGTGAGCACCGCTGAGCAAAGCCGGGTGGGGGTTGGGGGGCTGCGGCGCAGCAGGGCGGGGCGGCGGGGCGGGGCCGAGGCCGGGCGGATTTCCCCAGCCTGGCGACCGGGGGCCGGGAAGCGAGGGTGGGGTGGGGGAGCCCAGGGAGTGCAGGGGAGGGTGGATTTCCCGGAGACAGACGCGCAGCTTCCTGCCCCTCGGAGACGGCGACAAAGGAGAAAGCCGTCTTCCCTCCCGTGGGGGTGACGAGCGGACCTCTGGCTTGTATTTCTTACCTTCAACCTCTGCATGCCACGCTCTCCCCCCACCCCGCCCTTCCCCAGGTCCCAGCCCATGCTCCTTCCTCAAAAATGAGGGGGAAATTGTCAAAAGGGAGCTAGAGCACATGGTGAGAATGCTTTTAGAACAAAAAACACTAGCCTTGTAAAACTAAAGGCTCTAGGTTAAAAACCAGCGCCATGGCGCTAACCCAGTGCCCCACTCTGGGAGGCGCGTTGTGGCCTGGGCGGGGAGGACGCCTCCGTTTGACATTAGTGGTTCACTTCCTAGTAACTTTACCTTGGTGACAGAACCTCCAGGAGACATGTCTACCCCACATCTTGCCATAACCTGGGACTAGAAGCTCCTGGAAGAGGTGAGCTCCCGGCGGCCAGTCAGGACCAGGGACAGCAGCAGCACCATGGTTGGGGCCACAGGGTTTGGTCCCCAAATGGATCCTTTTTGATACTGAGTATTTTTCCTTCTTATGAAGCACTCACCTCGCTGACACCCGTGAAACGCACCCAGCCCTGACTTTCTCAGGCCACTAGCACAAGGCAGCCCAGCAGGTCTGCCACCAAGGCAGGCTCAGTTCATTTTGTCACCAAGTCTAGAAAGCTCCCTTTTCCTGGTGTCCAAGGTGGATACTCCCAAGTGCAGTAAGCCATCTCCAGTATGTGCCACTCTAGGACAGTGGTTCTCAACATGTGGGTCTCAACCCCTTAGGGGTCGCCTAAGACCATCAGAAAACACAGATACTTACATTACTATTCATAACAGTAGCAAATTACAGTTATGGAGTAGCAATGAAAATAATTTTATGGGTGGGGTCACTGTAATATGAGAAACTCTATTAAAGGGTTGCAGCCTTGGGAAGGTTGAGAAATGCTGCCCTAGACCCTACTTTTATTCACACTTAAAAGTGAACATGGAGCCAGGTGTCATGGTGCACACCTTTAATCCTAGTACTCAGGAGGCAGAGGCGGGTGGATCTCTGAGTTTAAGGCCAGCCTGGTCTACACTGTGAGTTCCAGAACAGTGAGAGCTATATGATAGAGACCTGCCGCGCGTGCGCGCGCGCCAGCCTTGCCCCCCAGTAAAGAAAGTGAACATGGACCTAGTGTGGCGCTTCCATCTCTAATTCAAATGCTCAGGAAGCTGATCTAGAGGACCACAGCAAGTTCAAGGCCTTTCTGAGCTACACAGAGAATTCAAAGCCACCTGAGGTACAAAATAAGACCCTCTCTCAAGGCAAAAGGAGAAAGAAAAGCCAAGTATGGTGGCACACGTTTTTAACCCCAACACTGGAAAGAGGTAGGTATATCTCTGTGAGTTCAAGGCCACCCTGATCTACAGAGCAAGTCCCTGGATAGCTAGGGCAACATAGAGAAACCCAGTCTTGAAAAACTAAAATAAATAAACAAATAAAAATAAAATAGCAATATAATGTAAAATATAAATTAAAAATTGTTAACCAAGCCGGGCGTTGGTGGCACACACCTTTAATCCCAGTACTTGGGAGGCAGAGGTAGGCGGATCTCTGTGAGTTCAAGGCCAGCCTGGTCTACTGAGCAAGTTCCAGGACAGCCTCCAAAATAATACAGAGAAACCCTGTCTCGAAAAACAAAAAACAAAACAAAACAAAAAAATTGTTAACCAAGCTGGGCAGTTGTGGTGCACGCCTTTAATCCCAGCACTCAGGAGGCAGAGGCAGGTGAACCTCTGTGAGCGGGAGGCCAGCCTGATCTACAGAGTGAGTTTCAGGACAGCCAGGACTACACAGAGAAACCCTGTAAAGAAACAAAGCAAAACAAAAATTGTCAACTAAATGAAAACAAGCCAATGAAGTACCAGGTTAATAGAGGTATCTACTGGGTCTACAGAGTGAGTTCCAGGACAGGTTCCAAAGCTACATAGAGAAACCCTGTCTTAAAAAATAAAAAGAAGCTAAACAAAGTATCTACCATGAATTCTGAAATGTATTGAGGCACACCAAGTGGCCAAGGAAATAGTTCCAAGCCTCAGTCTCTAGCCCCTCTCACAAGACTTTGCCCAAGCCCTAGGCCATCCTTGGCATCACTTTCCCCTCTGAGAGTCATTCTCAAGCCTGGAGCCTAGCCAGAGAACCTGAGGGTGGCCCCAGCCCCCACTGCTCAGGACAATAAACCTCAGAAAGCACCTTTCCCAGGGGTGGGTTGAGGTTTTGTGCAAAGCTAATGGAGCTTCAGCTAAAGGCAGAGGAGGGGGAACTGAGCCAGGGTGATGGTGGGGGGTTGGGAACCTTGCCTGCACAGTGGCCAGGGGGGAGGGTAGTGGCCTTTGTCTGTGCTGCTGCAGGGCAGGGCCAGGCAGTTACCAGGGTAACCTTCCTTGTTTCCTCCACATTCTCAAGGATGCTCAGTTTGGCTCAACTGGAAAAGTGGGGAAGGGGCAGGACAAAGACTTGGGAAGCTAGTAGCCGCCCTCCCAGGAGAGTCTCAGGTCAATTTTCCTGACTGCTTCCCCGCTAAGGTGGTCAGAGTGGACTGTTAGCCAGGGGTTAGGCCTAGCCAGGTTTAGCTCTGATAGTTGTGACCCTCTCATCCTCAGCAAACTGTTCTGGACACCCTCTCCACCTGTGTGCCCATCCACAGGCACCAGGTGCTTTCTGAGGATTGTGTGGGATCAAGCACAACAGGGAGTGGCCACCTGAGTTCAAGCTGGCAGTGAGGATAGCAGGTACAAGGGAGCATTGCAATAGAGGGTAGATGTGGGTGTGGGGGGGCAAGTGCAACAGAAAAAGTCCAGGACCCTGTCTCCATCCTCTTCTATGATTTAGTGCCACCCCCAAATTCACAGAGATCCACCTGCCTCTGCCTCCCAAGTGCTGGGAGGTATACAGTGATCTGCCCACATGCCAGAAGAGGGCACTAGATCTCATTACAGATGGTTGTGAGCCATCATGTGGTTGTTGGAATTGAACTCAAGACCTCTGAAAGACTAGCTAGTGTTCTTAACCACCGAGCCATCTCTCCAGCCCCCCTTTTTCCCATTAGACAGCTGTGACAGTTCCCCAGTGGTTTGCTTGTCCACTCAGATCCCACAGATTCTGCCAGTTGGGTCAGAATGCATTTTGTAAAAGATACATCTGGAAGGCACTGATTGAGGGGCAGGTACTAAATGTTGCCTAACCACAGCCCTTTCTCATCCTCCGCCTGTCTCTAGTACAATGGAAAGAAAATGAGGACATGTACAAAGATAGCTCATCCCTGGGTTTGTTGGTGATGCAGCAACAACTGGAAGCTGGTCTCATGCTCCTCTTATCCCTAAGCACTCCAACACAGAGGCCCAGGATTTAACCCTTGCTGGTCCCCAGTGCAGGACAAGTCCCGAATCTCCATACACTAGTCTACACTTGGAGAAATGTGAGGAATGAGGATGGACCTTCCACCTGGAATCTGTTGGGAATAACAACCACCCCCAAGCTCAGCAGCTTGTATGCTTCTGTCCAGTGAGAAGATGGCCTTAGGGGTCCATTCTGGAAACCAGGTCTCAAGGTTCCCAGTTATTTTATCCCAGCTCCGCATTCTAAAACGCGACCTCCTCACCCCTGCTTAGTTATACTTAGTTGGACTTCTGGGCCAGCCGTCTGTGCAGGGGAGCCTTGTGTTGGATCACAGAAGCATCTCTTCAGAGGGTTGTTGGGGGATGTTGGTTGTTGGCCTTGTAGTCCTTGGGAGTCCCCCATCAGAACTCCCCAGACATAGGAAGTGCCAGTGCATTCTGGGAATGGTTCAGAAGGATGGGTGGGATCTATGATTTCTGTTTAAGTTGCCTTGGTCATGGTCTCTCCTCACGGAAATGGTACAGGAACTAAGACACACACTAACAGACTATTTTTTCTTTATTTATTTATTGGTTTTTCAAGACAGGGTTTCAGTGTTTAGCTCTGGCTGTCCTGGAACTCACTTTGTAGACCAGGCTGGCCTTGAACTCACAGAAATCCACCTGTCTTCTGCCTCATGAGTGCTGGGACTAAAGGTGTGCACCACCACCACCCTGCTCACTAACAGATTCTTGGAACTCACAGCACCGCTGGCTCTCTGACCATGGGCTTATTTTAATGGTTCATTTATTTATTTAATATACTGTCTGCATATATGCCTGCACACCAGAAAAGGACATCAGATCCCATTATAGATGGTTGTGAGCCACCATGTGATTGTAGGGAATTGAACTCAGGACCTCTGGAAGAACAGCCAGTGCTCTTAACCACTGAGCCATCTCTCCAGCCCCCAGTCCATGGACTTTGTATCCTGTATTATCTTGCAGCATCTTGTGGCACTGAGCAGAAGCTGATCTCCAGGCCCCCTTGAAACTCAGTGCACACACGATCTTATACATATGTGCCTAGAAAGCATGTGCTGTATGTACGGTGCCACCACACCTTAGAAACAGGTATGGAGGACCAGCCAGATAGCTTGTCACCGAGCTGGATGAGCTGTGTTTGATCCCCAGAATCCACAAGGTGGAAAGAGGCAACTCCCGCAGAGACAAGTGTGGGGAATACAAGGTTAGGATAAGGCGCACAGTCCTCCCATTCCTGTCACGTGGAAAGAAGGTGAAGGAAAGTCAGAAGAGGGTGTGTAAGCTGAAGGCTGCTGAAGCTCAAGATGCTGGAGCGAGCCTAATCCCTGTGTCCACAGAGACCCCTTATTGGCTCTCATAGGGCCTTATTTTGGTGTCCAGAAAAAGGCTGAGAGCAGATCAGGCCCGAGGGATGGGGCAAGGTGAGTAGTGACAGATGGACAGACAGCTCAAGGAGAAACCCAGTCAACCAGAGAGTGAAAAAGACAACTGTATTGGATTTACAATCAGGATTTACAAAAAGGGGTGAGTGGTCCTGGTGGAGATGCTGTTCCAGCATCCCCAGATCCAGGCAGGGCCTCCAGGACAGCCTGTTTGACAGCTGAGACCAGGACCGCAGTTTTCTGGGTCCCTCTGGCCACCTGGGCCCCGACGTCTGACGTCCAGCTTGACCTTAGAGGTGGAGCCAGTGATGGCCCTCCAAGTCCTCCTGGAGTGCCTGCGCCCCATGGGGAGGCTCAGGTGAGGTCAGGAAGGCATTGTACCGCTTTTCTTCTCCTCCTTCCATCTGGCAGGCTGGCACAGTCCAGGAACCGGCCATGGGAGCTACAGACCAAACCCAGAGTATCTGAGGAGGCTGGGCTGCTGGTGCTTGGGGAGGGGAGGCCAAGGCTCCATTGCCCCCAGTGGCCCAGTGTGGCTTTGTAAGGCACATTTGCGAATTACTCAGGAGACAACACAGAGAACACCCGATGCTGGTGCCATTGGAAGGAGCTGGTGCTGACTCGGGCGCCCGGGCAGTATTGCTCAGGAGAAAGACGCTACAAGTCTACAGGAGGTGGGCCCACTATACCCACTCCAGACGCGTTGGGTGCATCCTCTACTGGAGAGAGAGAAGAACTCAGCTACAGCCAGTGCAACATCACGCCAGGAGGCTGCCCAATGCCATGGTACCACACACCTGCATCCTGAGGCAGCCCTGACGGTCAGAGGTCTGTAACCTTGTTCTCAAGCGCAGCGGCAATCTGCTGCAGGCGGAAGGCCAATTGCATCTTTTGGGCTGCAGGGTCTTCCTCCAAAGCATTGATGATCTGGCGGGGCGGGGGACGAGATGGACACAGAGGACACCCTGTCAGATCACAGGCTGGGGGCGGGTCACAGGCTGTCCTGAGTTTTACCACAGGGACCCAGGCCATACCTCATCATAGTACTTTTGTGTGTACTGGTAGAGCTGGTGCAGTGCCACAAGTGTGTTCAAGGAGTCTGTGTGTGCCTGGGGACGACAGTGTTACCCAGTATGAGAAGCGGCTATGGGAGCCCCAAGACCAGTCCCAGGCTGTAATGTGTTGGCTGTGTGGCAACCTCACAGATACACCAGTAAAAGGGCCACACCCTGGTAAGGCCACGGGCAAAGCCCATGCACATGGCAGCAGCTGCACAGCCGTAGCCAGCACAGCAGGTACACCAGGGCTCTGAGCCCACACACTGCCTACACATCAGCTTTGAGCACACACTTGTCCACCTCTTCCTAGGGCTCCGCCACACTCGCTGCAGCTTCTCTGACCAACACGCCCACTTGCTAACCTCTGCTTTTCTCATCACAGTAGAACTGCTCTGCAGTTCAGTCTCTGGCTCAACAGTGGGCAGCAGAGAGAGCCCTTGCTCCTATGGAACTCCACGACCCTTACCCGGGAAATCTCTGCCAAGTGTGTGTTCATGTCTTGGTCGCTGACCTGCACCATCTGTCGGATGCCCTTATAGTAGCTGCAGGAGAAGAGGAGTTATGGATGGAGGCCGGAGGTGAGTGTCAGGGAAAAGGGGGTGGGGTGCCAGACCCTGGGGTCTTTTAGCGATTCCCAGTTGTTCCCCAGCCCTCCTCCACGCCACTCACTCTTCCACCATCTTCTTGTAGGTAGAGATCTCCTTTGCATACAGCAGCTTGTTGCTGGGAGAGTCCTGTGGAAGACAAAAGCCTTGACACTGACCCGCTACTCAGTCCTCAAAGTAGTAACATGGCCTCTGCTCAGACTCTAGGAAAGCACTGGAGCCTGGGGTTGGGGAATGAGTAAGAAGGGACAGGAGTCCCAAGGGAGGTGAAGGAAGGGAGGTGATCATCTTCAAGGCAGCCCTGAAGCCTTGGTCACCTTCCACCTGCTTCTGTCCCAAACATACAAACCCACATTAAGACAAGCTCTTGGCATAACCCTAACTCACCCCACGTCAGTCACAGTTCCTCCCTATGGGCGCTGTCCAGACTAGCTCCTCCACCCCTCCCGGGCAGTTGACCCAACTTATGACCCACAAGCCCTACTCACACGGCTCAGCTTGTGCTCTGTGCGAGTACAGGCATCCATGAAGGTCTGTGCGATAACCGACAGGGAGGCATCCACCACTTCGTGGACATGAACATCAAAGATGAAATGAGGGTTCTTCAGGATGTTCACCCAGAACCGAAGCGGTAAACTGTAGCGGATGGGCAGGGAGTGAGGGGCTGTGCTGGGCTATGGTAGGGGGCAGAGACAGAGGACAGGGCCTCACCTATTGGTTTTCCAGATGTGGATGGTATCCTCATCCCGGATGTCATGCTTCTCGGCCTGCTCATCCAAGAAATCAAAGAAATACTTGACTGCGGGTGGCACTGCATTCCCGGGAGCCAGCACACTTTGGAAAAAGTTGTCCACAAACTGCTGCAGTGTGCCCTGTAGGGGAGAGCAGCTGGGTGTGACCCCCTGGGGTGCAGCCCCAGGCACCAGTGTGTGGGAATGTGTACCTGTGCATGAGTGTTATCACCTTGACCGAGAGCAGCCGTGTCAGGTAGATTTCTGTGATCGCCTTGGTTCGCTCTTTCTCTTTCATGCTGCCGCGCTTGGACTTGCCTTCATCTACCTCATCTGTTGGCCGCACCAAGTGCCACACACGGTTTTCCTCTTCCAGAAGGGCATGGCCTATGGGGAGCAGGGAGCTGAGGGACCGGGCTCCAATTCAAGGTAGGCATGGCCTGAAGCTTGGTAGGTAGGGTTCCTAGGGTCCACTAGGTGGCGGCAAAGGGAGGATATGGTCTTCACAGACCTTTAGGGACTAGGACAAGAAAGGCATTATAGACTCACGCTCCCCAGGAAGATCTGGTTGGCTGTCCTCTGGTTGCTGGGAGACTCCCACCTTAGACAAGATGAGGGTGGCTCCATCCCGGACCTGGGGAATAGAGTTATAAGGGAAGGCTATGTTTCTACTGTGGAATCCAGCACTAGGCCCCTACCTGGGGTACCTCTTGACACTCACGTTGTAGTGCATAAGGGTGTTGATTCGTTTCCACCGGCCTTCCCGCTGAGAGGTAAGGTCCAAGTCAGACAGAATCTGGGCCGTGGACCCAGGACGCCATTCTGAAGAAGGACATAGTTCAGTTTTGGGAACCCAGGGCTGCATGGCTGCCCATTCCCAGGAGAGCTGGGCACATGGCCCTCATGAACAGGTAGTACTCACCGAGGACCACACTGTCAGGCTTGGGCCAGCAAGAGCAGGGCTGTGTACGGTACACCTGATCGATGATCTTCTCTTTGACCTGAGATATGGTGTCGCAGTTGAGGACCTTGACTGGGATGGCCTCAACTCCTTCATCCTGAATGATCACGCTCACCGTCTGCCAGGGAACACAGGGTAAGAAGTACTGCCTGATGCTGGGAGTTGGTGGTACAATCCTTTAATCCCAGCACTCGGGAGGCAGAGGCAGGCAGATCTCTGTGAGTTTGAATCCAGCCTGGTCTACAGAGCTAGTTCCAGGACAGCCAGAACTGTTACAGAGAAACCTTGCCTCAAAAAACCAAGGAGGGGGGGAGAGGATAGGACTGGCTAAGGGAGGGAGGAGCCTTGTAACCACACCTCTACACCATAGACCCCACCCAGGACAAGTTGGCTTCATCCCGCTGAGTTCAGATATGGGGTCCAAGCTCCTGGCTCTGGGGGACTCACCAGAGGTGCATACTCGACATCATCCCCAAGCAGCCCTGTGTCATTCAGGGTGTACTTGGCCTTCTTCTGCACAGCGTCTACTGGTCCCTTTTCCACCTGGTGTTTGATGGCCTTGAAGAGCTTGTACAGGGGCTCACCTGCGCTATCCTGGAGCAAGGGGGCTGTATGAGTGGGAGGCTGCCATGCATGGTGGGGCTGGACCTCCCTCCAGACGCTCAGACAAGCAGGCGTTGGGAGGGATGGCACCAATTCATCCACCCCTGGCCCTAGGGTTGGAGCTTACCTTGAGGTACTGGTACAGACAGATGGACATCCAGTTGGACAGCATCCTCTCCACCACTGTCTCCGACCTGAGGGTACACAGAGGTCTCATATTCCCAAGGCCCAGCTGGCTCCAGGACCCCACCCACAGTACGCATGTGAGCAGAAAGGCAGTGTGGCCCCTGCAGAGGGTTATAACCATCCAGAATGGCCATGGAGCCGCTCAGACAAGGGCAGTACAGACTGGGATCTGGCTTCCTGTCCGTCCAAACAAGCCCCGCCCTGCCCCACCTGTCATTCCCATGGGGTCTGTCACCCACAAACCTTCGAAGCATCAGCTTTGGGTTCTTGGCCACCACATACTGCTCCATGAGTTCCAGGAAGAGGGTACGCATGATGTCCGTGTAGTACTCTAACTTCCCATGCAGGGCCACAGTCAGCAGTGACGCGAAGTAGACCTTGGCACGAGCTGAGAACTCGCGTTGATTCTCTAGGGTGTGGATGAACTGCGGGGCAGACGGGAAGAGGACACTTGAGCACCCATTCTACGGCTGCCCCCGCTCTGACTCTCCCAGCCCCGCCCCCGCCCCCACCCCCACTCACATTGATGAGGAAGGACTTGCTATTGAGCAGGTTGGAGAACTGATAGAGGGCCTGCTCCACAACGGGCCGCCGTGACTCTGGAATGTCTAGCTTTCCAGTGATCATGACATCCTTGTCACCATCCTTGGAGGGCAGGAAGAAGACGCGGTCAGTGTAGGTCTTATAGTCCAGCGTGGGGATGCCCGCCTCATGCACATCATTTGTCTGGTCTTCCATCTCGATCATCAGGTCTGAGAAAGCAATAGAAGCAAAGCTGGAGTGAGGCATCCCTGGCCACCTACTGCTATGCTTACCCATGCCCTCCTGCGGTCTCTAGCCCTAAGAGTGGCCTAAAAGACCCAGGGGTTTTAATAAGGGCAGCCTGCGGATCCACGTGCTGGAGGCGGCCCCCCTACCTGTGAATTCCTTCTTGCAGCGGTCTCGCACGCTCTCTTCCAGTCCTTCCAGCTGGGACTTAATCTTCTCATACTCACGCTCGGCCTGCTGGCTCTTCCTCCTGTAGAGCACAGAGCAGCCCTCAGTCAGCTGCTAGGGTCAGGAGGGCTGGGGCGGGAGGGCTGAGGAGACTGGTACCTGGGGCAGGACTCACCAGTAGCAGTAGATGGACACGGCAATGATAAACACCATGGGCACCATGACCAGAGGCAGGATGAGACTGAGCGGCACGTCACTCACACGTGTGTCATACTCCACCCGGCCTAGCACCCACTCTCGAGAGCCAAACTTCACCTGTGTGGAAGCTAGGGCTCAGCGCAGGCAGGCGGAGGCAGCGGCGGCTTCTCCTGAGAGGGTCCCCTGGCCCTCCACAGCCCTCCCGCTCTCACGCACAATGAACTCGGGCAGGTTGTGTGTTGTGTCTCGCTTCTGCCGCCGCTTGGGTGGGGGCTGCACCTCTGGGGGCTCACAGTATAGGTCAGTCTCGGTCAGCGTCTTCATAATGCAACGCTCAGCACCCACAAATGCCTCAGCCTCCTCCAGTGTCATGGCCTTGTTCAGATTGGTTCCCTAGAGGGGGTTGGGTGACAGAGGTGAGGATGATCAGCAAGACCCCTCCCTGCCCTATACGGGGTCCCCATGCTGCAGGTCTCCTTACCCGGGCATGGATGAGCTTGTTGACCTGCTTCTTGACACCACCTGTGAAGTTCTCAAAGGTGGGATCCGCCACATACTCAAAGGCACCAGCTTCAGTCCTAAGGAGTGCACGGTGACCGTCCATCTGTATCAGCACAGTGAGGTTGTAAGCCTCAGGTTCTTCAGGGACAGCAGGTGACAAGAAGACCACCTTGGTGTCATTGTAGAACACGTACTCAGTGCCCGTGACCTATGGAATGGGTCCAAAAACTTCAGGTCACTTGATGAAGACCTTGCCCCTACTGGTCCCCAGTTGCTCGCCTTCCCATTAGAACTGAACCTTCAGCCCATGGCAGGACCGCAGGACTGACCGTCATGGGCTCCAGGGATTCAGCCTCCCGCCGCCTCCGCCAGGACCTCAAGGGCTCAGCAATGACAACCATGGCAAACTTCTGGATGAGGCTGAAGCCCTGGCCTGTAACATTGATGCTCCGGCCACCACTGGGGGTTAGGGAGAAGCAGTGCTTGAGTGAGTTCAGCCCCCAGGTAGGAAGTGATACGGTAATAATGTAACTAGTCAGAGGCACGGGGAGTAGGGAGCAGTGGGGTTTTCCAGGAGATCCCTTCTCCGGCCCCGCCCAGCCCAGTTCTGCCACATTCCTCAGGTCAGCAGGCGGGGCCGGGCAGGGAAGACACACTAGACAGGAAGGAAGGGGAGAGGCCACACCTGACAAAGCTTCTCAGTGGCTCAAAGGCTCGTAACACTGGGTTCTCACAGTAGGTGAAGGAGACACCAGAGCTGGGCACTCGGGAGCCCCCATAGGAGATTTCTAGTACCATCTGGCCTGGAGCCACCTGTGGACCCGTGACGCACTGCAGCTGTGCTCCAAACTTTGTCCTAGGGCGGGAGGTGCTCATCAGTACACCGGGCCAGTTCCAAGCCTCCATGGCAGCCTTCCCACCCTTGCCCCCGGCCAGGCATGCTCAGCAGCCATGGGCAACACATACACTTCACAAGGGACGTCATTGAGTGTCACCCGAACATCCTCCTTGGAGCCTGTGTCCAGGTGAGTGCCATTGATGGTCAATGTGGTGCCACCTGCCTGTGGACCCTGTCGTGGCTCGACACTGAGAGGCTGGGGTTGCTGAGACAACACACGTAGTTAGTGCCAAGGACTCGGGGATCACTGGAAAGTGACTATTGTTAGAGGCCAACTGCGGTGGGGTCAGTAGCTTGGTCAGGTACTTACTTGATAAGTGAACTGGACATGTGGTGGTGAGTGGCCCAGCTTTCCATTAACATCCACCTCAATACCTCCCGTGAAAGGCATCTCCGCAGCCTCAATCGCACACACAATCCTGTCGACAGACAGGACCCAGTCAGCAACTTACTACCACTGCAGCATCTGCGAGGTTGCTAGGAGCTCAGGCTGACGGCAGCTCACTCACCGGGTAGAGACAGAGTACCATTTTGGTTCAAAGGCACAGTTTTGGCCAGCCACAGTGATCTTCTTGACATCGTCTGCTGTGACGCCCAAATTGGACCCATGGATAGTGACGCGGATGCCCCCACCCAGTGGGCCTGTCTCAGGCTGGATCTGAAATTGGCAGAGCCCGGGAAATGAGTGGCTTGGGAAGATGGAAGATGTGGGGATGGGGTACAGGTCAACCCGTGACAAAACTCACCCTGGTAATGACTGGTGGTGGGCATTCTGAAGTAACATTGCTGCACAGGGCCTCATAGACACACCTGTTCTGCCCACGGCACCACACACACCTGTAGGCAGGGTCGGCAGCCAGACACAGGCTACAGTCACTGCGGCCAAAGGAGCAGTTGTAGAGAGTCACTGTGGAGGAGAGTGTAGTTAGTGGTCGTTCTGGGCCCTACCCCACCTTCCCCAGATCCCACCTACCTTGTAGCTTGCTGTCAATTTTCTTGTCAAAGGACTTTACATAAAGGTGAAGAGGCAGCGTCTCATTTGCGTCATAGGATAGCTGCATGGGACACACAGGGACAAACTGTAGTGTCTGCCCCTCTGATATCCCAAAAGCCACAGGAATCCCTGTACTGCCAAAGGTCAGTGAAGTCTGCCAGGTAGACAGGAATTGGTGTGCATCATACAGACATACCCCGAGAATGAGAGTGTGTTCAATGACATAGGCAGAGATGCTTGGAGACCACAAGGCACAGGGCAGGAGGGACAAGACCCTGGCTAGGCTCCAGTCCCAGAGGTAACACCCACTCTCCAGCCCGAGACCAGTAGTAGTACCTTTGGGGTCTTAAAAGAGAAGGCCCCTGACTCCTGCATAGTCACAGTTGCCTTGAACTTCAACAGGTCACTGCCCACATAGAGGGAAGAGACCTAAAGAGAGTACAGTCAGCATCCTCTGCGCAAGCCGGCTAACTGTCCTGCCCCCCAGAGGCATAGGATCCGTGTCTCCAAATGCTCCCAAAGAATCACACCACCTAGTCTGTCCCATGTTCAGGTGCCTCTGAAGACCCTCTGCCTCCCTCCCCCTCTCTGATGTCTCCCGACTGCTCTCAGTGCTGAGTGGACATCCAGAGACCCCCAACTTTGGGAGGATGACTCTCAAGCAAGCCCGCCACCCGCTAGACTTTGCCCGAGGCCTTCTCTACCTTCCCAGTGTCCAAGTTCTTGCCCTGGAAGGTCACTTCTGTCTCATGGTTCATGGGGATGACGGAAGGGCTAGGGTCCAGGAACTGGGGGCAGTTGGCCTCCTGGGAGAGAGCACAGCTGGTGAGATGGAGTGCCTCCTGACACCTGTGGTCCTAACCACGGTCATACCGGAGTGGCTCGCTCACCATGTGAGCACGTATGATTCCGTCCTCCGGGTTGGGTGAGGCCTCCCGACACTCGTGATACAGCAGGTCCCACTGGCACATCCAGCGGTTGCTAGCGCAGGAGATGCACCTGGTGAGAGGGTCACGAAGGTGTGAGGGGCTTGGAGTACAAGGAACCTAGGGGCGGGGTTGGGGGGGCCTCAAAAGGCGGCCAGGACTCACGGCAGGTTCTCCACCAGGCTCATAGCCTCTCTGCAGTCATAGAAAGGGTACTGGTGGGAGGTGAGGAAGACACTGCCACGTTTGAAGAGGAGCTGGATGCTCACAGCCACGTGGTCTGCAGAATGCAGGGGGGAACGGGGTCAGGTGTAGCTAGAGAGGAAGGGTGGAGCTGGGCCTCCCCCAGTGCCCAGCTGAAAGCAGGTGTGTGCTGGGGCCATAGGCTACAACCCAGTCTGTAGGTTCAGCTGGCCCTGCATGTTCAGGTGGCCCTCTGCTGCTGTCAGATCTGGGCTCCGGTCTCAGCTCCCAGGGCTAGGCTCATCTTTCTCCCCTGGGCTTGGCTGCTTTCATGCCCTCTCTCTGTTCCTGCAAGTGCTGAGGACAGTGGCTCCTCAGAGTCTGGGTGGGAGGGCCTCCCAGGTCCCTGCCCATATCACTCTGTGGCCTCATGGCCCTGTCACCCCCAACATTCAAGGGATAGACAGATATAGCACCTGTCTCAGCCCAGATAGAGGCCTTCAGCCTCTGAAGACAGCACCAGCTGCTTCGGGCTGGGTACAGCAGTAAGGAGTGATGGGCATCTGTAAAAATAGCTTCTGGGGGAATCTTGATCTTGGTTTCCCCAGAACTGAACTCAGCCTTCAGGCAAAGAACAAAGTATTCTCAAAATTGGGACTTTTTCCCCCTCTCCTCAATAATAATAGCCTGCACCCAGGATTGGTTCACACTTGGTGCTTAATGAAGTAAAATGTGAGAGCAGATAAAGGTACAGGAAAAGCTGTGCGTAGGAAAAAGGAAGTTGTGTAGTCCAGGGACTAAAGGATATGAGCTCTCACCTTGGCCTGGTGGTGTGCTAGGGATGCTGCTTGGGGGGTCACAGATAATGGCGTCCCCCTCAATCTGGGCAGGGCGTGGCGGTGGTTCACCAAAGAGGCATAACAACTCATCCTCCTGAGTCAGGGTGGGTAGGGGGCTGACAGACAGCCGTACCTGCAGGAGGAGACATAATTCCTAGAACGTGCTTCTCTGTCTAAGATGTTCATGTGGTCCTGGGTCCAAGGCAACCTGTGGTTTCCTTGTTTCTCTGCTAGCTCCCAGCCAGCAGCTGTGTAAGGAGAGCCCCGCCTGGCCCTGTACACCACTACCTGCCACCTGTCACATACCTGTCCCGGAGCCCGCCGGCTCATGTTCTGTGGATTAGCATCAGTGATGGCCACACAGGATTTGTTCCGGCTCCACAGCCAGTGGCCAGTTTCCTCAGCCCGTGAGCACTCGGCCTTCCTGGTGCATCTGAAAGGACAGAGAAGCAGGGCATTGGCGGCGCACGCCTTTAATCCCAGCACTCAGGAGGCAGAGGCAGGCGGATCTCTGGGAGTTCGAGGCCAGCCTGGTCTACAGAGCTAGTTCCAGGACAGCCTCCAAAACAATACACTGTCTCGAAAAAAAAAAAAAACAAAACAAAACAAAAAAAAAAAAGACAGAGAATAATCTCAGTCCCAATGCTCTTTGGCCTCCAGGCCATCGGGACAAGGACAAACTGCTCACCGTCCCTCGACGACACACCAGCCACAGTAGGGATCTTGGGAGTCACGACACTGAGCACAGGTTAGGTAACTCAGACATTCCTGCACTGGGAGCCGGAACACCTAGAGATGAGATAGCAGGGCTATGGGGCAATGTGACTTAGAGACACAGGACCCTACCTCAGACATCAGACTTTCCTGGGACTACCAACAAGGAATCCCCTGGGCCAGCTTGATTCATTAGCACCTATAAGCTACGGCAAGATCAGAAAGGGAAAGCTTGTTGAGAAAGGGAACACTGGAGATAAAGCTCAGTAAAAAAGCACTTGCCTCGCATGTAGAAGACCTTAGTTCTAATTCCTGGTGCTCAAAATAAAACATCTGAAGGTAACAATGGTGCTATGAAGACTCAAGAGACATGAGCCCAGACTCTGTCCAACTGTCCAAGGCAAGGCCCAGCATATCCTCTAGGCTTGTTTCAAAACGGCCTTCTGAGGCCATCTTTAGGCTGACCTTATCGTGGGTCATAGCATATAGACTGGACAGGTTTCCAGACAGTGCCAGGTCCTGCTTGATTTTCTTATTGATGTCTACCAGGATAGAGCCATACTCTGCAGAAGTCCCATCTGGGGCAAGGTACACCTGCGAACACCAAGGCAGTCCATGAGAACAGGGGGCAGCATGCCTGACTGGCCGCTCTAGGAACCTCTCTGCTGGGGGCAGTACCTTAAGGATCCGGCCATCTGAGGTGCCCAGGAAGGCGACAACATGGCCATTCTCGGCAGCTACCGTCACCGCTGTCAGATTCAGGCCCCCACGGTACAGAAGGGCTGTGGTGATGAGTCCATCACGACTGCCCAGTGGATAGGGCAGATGCTCCGAGCCACATGGAAAACTCTCGCTGGCACCCTGTGGATCACAGCATCAGGACAGGGCCTTGTCTCCTAGGCTCTTCCCTACCAGGGCTCCAAGCTATAGGAGTTAGACCCTATCCTCCACAACACAAATATGCTCTAACACTCTAGGGGGAACATACACCTACGAACAGGCAAGACACGTACTAGCACATGGCCACCACACTGGATGTCTCCGTGGAAGGGCTTGTAGAAGGTTTCACGGCCTGCCTCTCGGGTACCTGTGTAGCAGTTTTTACGGTTGGTTTCCATCTTGGCATTGACTTCATCTAGTGGGAAAACACAGAGGCCTGCCCCAGGCCCCGCACTGCTCCGGCCATCTCTGCTGAAGACAGCATAGAGTGCCCTGCCAGCACCAGGAGTGGCTACAGAAGCCGCTAGGCAGGTGCCAAAGAAAGAGACTTGGGGGTCACTGGGATCCCGACACTGCAGGTCCATCTCTACATAGGAGTAGTAGGAGGGATCATCTTTGCACATTCGTGCCAGGAGTGTCCGGTTCCTGGCAGGGTGCTTGTCTTGCTGGTTGAAGATGAAAAAGACATAGAGGCCGTCCTCAAAGGCCGCAATGAACTGCTGAGTGTTAGTGGACAGGTAGCCAGCCTTGAAGGTGGTGTGGTCCGAGTAGGCCTCAAAGGCCTCCCGGCCCTCAGCCCTGTCCAGCAGGCGGGTGCTCACGATGATGCCGTTGTCATGTGGCCCATTGCCTTTGCCCACAAACAGCACGCGCTCACCATCGGGGCGCGTGGAGCTCACCAGCCCTACTGTGGCCACTCTCTCGTCATTGCTGGCTACAAAGGACTTCTCTCCACTGCCATCCTCATAGAAGAGGCGCACCGAGACATTGCTCAGGGCACGCAGGGCACAGATGCCCTTGAAAAGGCTGCCACACTCGACCAGGCGTTTCCCAGGTGGGTCGAGCAGCAGCAGCTGGTTGACGTTGTCAGTGAGCACTGCTTCGTGGCACTGGCTAGCCTCGATGGGTGGTGTGCACTTCTTGTTATCCATGAAGGGTCCTGTGACCACATGCTGCTGGAGATGCAGGTCAGCACTCAGCTGGTAGAGCGCGTTCACTGCCCCAACATATACCACACCCGAGGCCTCATCCACAACCAGGTGGTTCAGCTCTGTGTCACTGCGGAAACTCTCCGGCTTGCGGGACCGTAGGCTCAACCCTAGGCCCGCCAGACCCAGCAAGGTCAGGGCCCAGAGTGACAGAGCCATTGCCCCCAGAACTCTGTGGGGAGAGACAGCAAGGGTCAGGTAAGCCCAGGCCTCTCCTCATTCAGACCCTTCCCTGAATGTCCAGAATGCAGGCGATAGGAGGACATAATCCCTCGAAGGGACACCCAAGGGAAAGTTCTGGGAAGACTCCTATCTATTCATACACATTCCTCTCAAGAAGCTACAGGTGGTCTTGGGATACAAACTCTAGACTTGCGGACATGTACACCCATACTGCTTGAGACCAAGGCTGCAACTAAAGGCCATGCACATGACCCAGGCAAGCATGGTTGTCTATTTATGTCCAGTTCCAGAGCTCCTTGGATGAGGATGGCCCCAACTCCATTCATAGCTCTCCATTTGCTGCCTAATTCAATCCACCAGTTCAGAGAGCGGTGCGTGTATGTGTGTGTGTTTGAGTGTCTGTGTGTGTCTCTGTGTTTGTCTATGTGTGTGTGTGTGTGACTGTGTGTATCTGTATGGCGACTTGTGAGTGCATGCACTCTCTAGGATCCTGGGTCAAGAGTCCACTTGAAGGAAAATGTAGGGTCTCATAGGTAGACCCTATAGACAGACTCAGCTTTGTCTCCTACATGCCTGAAACAGTATGACTTCCCCTGGGGCACAATGGCAAGGGTGCCTCCAGATGATCTAATACCCCCTATTTAAGACCATTCTAGGGGTAGACTTAAGAGCACTGGTTGCTCTTCCTGAGGACAATTGACAGCTCTGATATGGCAGCTCATAACATCTGTATTTCTAGTCCTAGTGAATCTCACTGTTTTTTTGTTTGTTTCTTTCTTTGTTTTTCGAGACAGGGTTTCTCTGTGTATGTGTAACACTGGCTGTCCTGGAACTCGCTTTGTAGACCAGGCTGGCCTCGAACTCACTGAGATTCACCTGCCTCTGCCTCCCAAGTGCTGAGATTAAAGGCGTGCGCCACCACTGCCTGGCTTAACACCCTTTTTTTTTGGCCTCCACAGGTACCAGGCACACAGGTGGTACACAGACATACATGCCAACTAAACACCTATACACATAAATTAAATTCAAAAGAGTACCTTAAACATCACCTCTTACACATCTTATTCCCCATAAAAAATTAAACTTTAAACATAAAATGATTCTAGGTCACACTCCCCAGGCTCTGTAACTTTCCAGTTACAGATGAGGGAACAGCTACCGAGAGGAAGTAACTTGCCTAAAGGCAGCCTGGATGAGGTGGGCAGGGTCAGGAGACCGACCTACCTGCTGCCACTCTCTGAGAATCCCTAGTTGGTTACCTCTGTCCTCCAAGAGGACCCTGCTCTGCCTGCTGCCGTCTCTGAACTGTGGGTGAAACTGAGTGTACTGGAATGGGGTCATGGCTTTTCTCCCGAGCCCTGCAGCTCGGCCAGCTGTGCTCCGCTTCTATTCTGTACCCTCGTAAGCCTCCTCAGACCCAGAAGGTATGACCCGCTGAAGAAGCTGCCTGATACAAAGTGTGGGGCAAGAAGCAGGGAGCACAGGCAACCCCAGGCCTCACTAGGTTAGGGAGAAGTCAGTGGCTTCAGTCATAGACAGGAAAACTTCACACACCCTTCAAGACCTCCACTTAAGACCGTGCCCAGCCCAGTCTAAGATTCCAAGGCTTGGCTCAGAACCTGCAGCAGCATCCAGGCTCCAGCCCAATGGGGACAGTACTGTGGTTCACTAACCAATCTCCATTCCAGGTTTCCCCATGCCAGTCTGCTCCCCACAGGCCGCCACACCAAGGCCCGACTGCTAGGGCCTGCTCGTTTGGGATTATAGATGTAGCTCACCAGCTCTAACTCACCAAATTGCTGCAGCTTTGTCGGCTCCCAGGAGCAGAGAATGAATGGAATGTTCCCAGCCAGGAGGGGGTGGGAGGGGGTGAGGCGTGGGCGTGGGAGGAGCTACTTCTCAGCACAGCTGAAACCTGACCAACCACCCTCTTCTAAATGCGGTTGTGCTAGCCTCCGCCCCTGACCTCCACTGGTAAAGCTCAAGGCTTGAACCCGGAGCTAACTAGCTAGGAAACCCCCTCTGCTCTTACTCTGGACCCAGAATGGCACCTTCTCCAACTGCCCTCCATGGGCCTCCCTAGGAGACCTGCCAGGTGGGCTTCTCTCCATTAACCTCAGGCAGGCGACTGGCCATCTCCCTATGCTTGGAGTTTACACTCTGGGAAGCTCACACACAGGGTCATAGGGTAGGCGGAGGAAAACTGCTCCCAGACATCTGGACACCAGTAACTATACTGATCCCCAGGCCCACACACCTGAGGGAAAGCCTGATTATAAAACTGGACCAGAAGGCTGGGGTACAGCTCAGTGACTGAACACTTGCCTAGCATGTATAAAGTTTTGGCTTCCGTCTTCGGCACTCTTACACACCCAGGTATCAAGGTAGTGGGGTAAGGAAGCTCCAGTCCAGTGTCTTCTGGGTGATAAAAGGGACCTGGATTGTATTCTATAGGTGGCAGCTCCCTTCTACTTCCTGGACAAACAAGGCCTTCAGTGACCTGCCTGGCCAGGCCCAGGAGCAAAGAGCACCTGACCTCAACAGTGCTCTGGCAGGGCAAGCTGGAGGCGCCAGGCACGGCCCGCTAAAGCTTCCTGCCACTGATGTTCCTGGAATGGGAGGGCAAGTGCAGGAACTTCCTGTTTTGGATTAAATCCAGGACCCCTGTTTGCCTGGCTGCTGGGGATTTCCTCAGGGGTACCCGTTAGCTTCCCAACTCCTGAAGTTTGGAGGTACACTTCCAAGAAGCCCAAGAAGCCACATGTACAGAGGTACAGCCTCAGGACCCCACAATGGATGATCTTCAGCACGTTTGGGGTTAGTTCACTCGCTCGCTCGCTCTCACTCACTTGCTCACCAGTGCTTCAGTGCTTTCAGTCTCTGTTTCAGGCTGGCATCGGGACTCTGTAGGAGAGACAGATAGCAGTCACTCTGGGTGGCTCTCCTGACTCCACCTATCTCTAGCTTCTCACTCTCCGTAAGACCCTCCGTTAGACACTTCCAGGCATCTAGCCCAGCTTCTGAAGCAAGCACATCCGCCTGCTCTTTGCCAAGTCATGCTACTTACTCTCTCTTCTCAGAAGCAGGCAGCTTCTTTTCACTGTCAGTCTACGGCACTATCTGCACTTCAAAACTACCTACAAGCCGGGCAGTGGTGGTGCAGGCCATTAATCCCAGCACTCAGGAGGCAGAGGCAGGTGGATCTCTGTGAGTTCAAGACCAGCCTGGTCTACAAGAGCTAGTTCCAGGACAGCCTCCAAAGCCACAGAGAAAGCCTGTCTCGAAAAAACCAAAAAAAAAAAAAAACAAAAACAAAAAACAAAAAAAAACCAAAAAAAAAAAAAACCAAAACAAACAAAAACAAAAAAAAACTACACAACCAGCTGGTGGTGGCACACACTTTTAATCCCAGCACTCGGAGACTAAGGGCAGAGGCAGGTGGATCTCTGAGTTCGAGGCCAGCCTAGTCTACAAAAGTGAGTTCAAGGACAGCCACGGCTATACAGAGAAATCCTGTCTCAAACAAACAAACCAAAACCAAACAAACAAAAACCCAAAACACTATATGCATAACTGCGTTCTGAAAAACAGGCATACCCACAACAAGGCAATTCTACTTACTAGCTGGGTGACCTTGGGCAAGTTAACTTCTCTGTGCCTCATTTCCCCATCTGCAAAATGGACACAGTAATAGTAAATTAACCCAAGGCACGGTAAGGATTAAATGAATTCATTCTTGAAAAGCCTGCGAGTGTTAGTTACACTGTAGCACTCAGCAGCTCTCCGGACTGTATTCCTTCACCTAGAAGCAGTCCTTCTAAGCCCCAAGGGAAGTAAAGACCAAGGGCACTTCTTGGCAGGCTTGTTAGAGGGAACAACTTGGCAACTCATCCAGCTGTCAGTCAGAGGATACTCTAGGGAAAATGCATGGCAAAAGGTCTACCCCAATGTACCAAGATCCCACATCACCCAGTTCTACCAGCGTGCTAGCTCCTGGGTTCTCAAAGACCTCAACCCAACCTGAAAACTGAGGGGGAAATTAGGGTCAAGGAAGAAAGTACACCCGGCCATAGTTCAGACACTCCAAGCCTGTCCTTAGCCTTGCTGGCCCGACTGACTGCGCTTCTAGGTACTGTCCACCCATCCCCTCAGAGAGCTGGCCCAGGCCTGGACCTATGGTGAGTCCAAGTAGTCCATCACGCCCTACACTGACTGCAGTGTCCTCGGCCGCTGACCTGGTCAAGGGGTTCAATGGGGCAGAGGACATCATTTGCCCCTGCTACTCAACACAGTCTTTGTGACTTAAGCCAACAAGCCGCTCTTCTGACCCAGCAGCCAAACCACAGGACAGCATCAGCCCCATGAGAATTCTGGAACCCAGCAGGCAGCGGCCGCAGCTGGCAGAGGCTTTGTACCACTGCTGCGTGTGGACATGCCATCTGCAGCCTGTGCCTGGGGACAGCTCTAGCTTCCTCTGGCCTGTCCCTCAGCCTCCCCTAGCTCTGGAATTCTCACAGCAGACCATCTAGGTTCCAGTTCTCCACTGGGGGGGGGGTCGTGTGTCCTGAAGGCAAGGCCAAAGGAGGATGGCTTATTCTAAGCATCTCTGTCATACATACTTCAGAAGGGTCTGATGAGCCAGTCACTGACCAGTCAGGGCCCACCACTCAGACACCACTGAAGGCAGGCCAGCTACCTCCTCCTCTACCAGGATCCAAGCTAACATGTCTTAGATATAAAAATGCCATCACAGAAACAAACAAACAAAAACTAAAAAAGGGCTGGAGAGATGGCTCAGAGGTTAAGAGCACTGGCTGCTCTTCCAGAGGTCCTGAGTTCAATTCCCAGCAAGCACATGGTGGCTCACAGCCATCTGTAGTGACTGGATGCTCTCTTCTGGTGTGCAAGAGTACATGCAGATAGAGCACTTGCATGCATAAAATAAATAAATGTAAGCAAACAAACAAAAAATGCCATCACTACTACCCTCTAGGCCACCAAGCCCTGGGCTGATGCTCCCAACCAGTCACCTCTGTCTCCCAGGATTGGCCCCTCCCCAATAGCCCAGACAAAGAACTCTGCCTCAGCACTGTAGGGCTTCAAGAGCATTACTCTCGTTCAAATCTAGCGCTGCCTCTTTCTGGCAGATTTACATGCACTATTTACAAAGGCGCTCTGTGCAGTTTTCCCATATGTAGGTTGGGTATAATAATAATACCCCCTTCAGGGAGCTGGGCAACTATTTACCCTCCAGCTACCTGACGAGTCTCTCATCTTCTATGATCTTCATGAGGGAGCTCTCTGTGGGCCAGGGATGAGGCTTGGGGGTCGGGGTACACCGGTGGGAAAAGTGTTGAAGGGTGAGTGAGCAGGCAGCCACTGCCAGCTCCCCGGTTGGAACTTAACAGCCTCTCCCCAGCCACAATTCTCAGGGTGAGCACATCCTGGACTGTTTGGGAAGCAACAAAAGCCCCTCCTCAGCTGGATGCTGACACTTCCCTATTCGGGTTCCTCTTCTCCAGGCCTGTCTTGATGCCAGTTCCATGGCGCGAGGGGTGGGGGGTGGGGGCGACACGGCGGACACGACACGACCAGTTGAGTTCTCTTAACTCTATAGAACAGCCTCGCTGGGCAGGGCTGGATAGAGTCGGGGTTCGTTTTTTTTTTTAGTATTTTTAGTAGCTTTTAAGGCTCAAATCAAATCAACGTTGTGGAAGTGTGTCCCAACAGGAGAGCAGAGGAGATTGGATCTCTCCCAGAGGCCAAGACAGCAAACCAGAAACACCAGGGACTGGCAGGGAGATGGGAACGAGCCCTACTAAAAACCAGGGTTCTAACAAGTACGGTGGGAACTGCACCACCCCCAGAACAGGACAGGAGAGCCTAAACAGCGGACCACACTCCAGGGGCGCAGGGCCACAAGAGAAACCGAAGCTGCCCCTCCCCCGCCGCAGCTGGCAGCCATGAGGCGGGGCGTCCGCTCTCCGAAAGCGACGAAAAATCTGCAATTAGCAGCGAGCGTTAAACAAATCAGGAGAGACAAAACAGGCCGCGGCGCCCGCAAATCCAAGCCTCCGCTGTTTTCAAAACAAGCCTGAGGGAGGGGCTGCGACAGGGGTCTGTGCGGAGCTCGACGCCTCTCGGGGCACCACCGCAGCCACAGACGCGGGTGTCGCACCCGGAACCGACAACTGGATCGCGTAGAAGACCCCGAGGGGGGCGCGGCCTGGGCCCGAGTACCCGGCTCCACCCACCTGACTACCTGGTCAGAGTACAGTCCGGGAGGCTGGGTCGATTCCCGCACCCCGAGCCAGCTCTGGCCTCGCTCCTCATAGACAGGCCCAGGTGGCAGGGCCCCTCCCCCAGCGCCGTTTCCGCCAGACTCCTCCGGGATCACAAGACGGTTACCTGGGAACTGCACTGGAGGCGGACCCCAGACGTGGGCGAGGACCGGCGGCCGGAGCTCCCGCAGGGACACGGCCACGCCCACGTTCCTAAAACCCAGGGCTCAAGCCCTCCCGCTCCAGTCAGGACCCGCTTCCACATTTTGGCCCCGCACCCCAGCGCACACCTAGAGGGAACACGTGGACTGCGCTTTTGGCGCGAGGCTCCCCAGGTCCGGGAAACTCACCACAAGGCGATGGGCAGGTGCGAGCCCAACCTCGGGTGACAATGGCAGCGGAGGTAACCGTCAAAAGCCAAGAGCCATATCCTTGCGGTGCTAACCTGGTGTCAGAAACAGCCCGAAAGCAGAACCGGCCATTACCTACCTAAGTCCTCTCCCAGCCTTGGAAGGAAAGCAAGGCGCGGCTCCGCCCACTGCCTGTAGCTCCACCCCTGCCCAGGGTCAGTTCCAGGGCTCGGCCCCCTAACCAGGGGTCAGCTAACCAAGTAGGACCTTGCCTTCCAGCAGCTTCAGGCCAGACTATGGGGATATCCGCCCGGGCTCCTCACGGGAAAAGCCAGCCCTAAAGGAAACTGTGCCACCTGACCTGGAGCAGGGGTGGGGCTCCAGGGAAAGGCAGATATGCTAACCTAGTCAGGGCTCGGATCCTCTCCCAGGGCTCAGAGTAAGGACGCCTCCCAAGCAGAGGGTATCTTCGGCCTTTCCCCAAAATTCCGAGCCCCTGGATTAGGTTCCATCTTTAGGTTCACCTATGCCCCCACCATTACAGGCTCAAGCCCAGTCCAGTCAGATCGCCCACTCACTTCCTCTCTCCCCCCTGAGCGCATCCAAGCAAGCCATTTCTCTGTCTGAGGCTTAATCTCCCAGGATCTCCACTATTGGCTCTGACCCTCAGGTGCCTCATGAGCTAACCTGTCAAAGCCCAAGGGCTTCCTCAGGTCTCCTCTTCCCTCCCTTCAGAGCCAGCTGCAGCCTCAGTATATTGTGGGAAACTTAGGCCGGGTTCCCCACACTGCCAACCATTGAGCTGGCTGGCTCCCCAGGACCAACACGCCCCCATCCCTCGGTTTAAAGTCCCAGTCACCACACTGTCTTGTCTGGGCATGGGAGATCCACTCGAGGATCTCCTGGTTTCAGCATTCCACTCCTTACATTCTACAGCCAGACTCCAGGTTCTGCAGCGAGTTACCCTTTGTGGACCTCCTGTGCTCCTGGAGGACTCTTCAAACTCACAAACTGAGGGAGGTCACAGTGGTTCCCATTACCACCACCACCACCACCACCACCACCACCACCACCACCACCACCACCACCACCACCACCACCACCTGCTCACCGGGACTGGGGATGTTCAGACAGACGCCAGTCATAGGAAGGCTCCTATGGGGACTTGAGGACCCTGCGCTGCTGGTTACGATGTTTATGCCTCCCTATTCCGATTTTCTCCACTCCAGCCCCACCTACACCTCTTCTCCCCTTTCCCAGCTCACCCAAAAGCTGGCTAGATGCTGCTAGCCAGGGCAGCCTGAAGCTCACTCATGAAGGCTGCAGTTTGCTTAAAACCAGTTCCTCAGAGTCCCTCCCAGGATTCAGCAGGGGTGGGGGTTGGGGGTGCCATTCAGTGGCATGGGGGCGGATGGGTGAGGGCCTGAGTGAGAAGCGGACAAGGCCTGTAATCTCCCTGTCAGCCTGTCAGTGTCTCATCGGTCACCCCAGCCCCTCCTCCCCCATCACTGTTGAACCCTACAATTAGCTTAGGGCACCTTGCCAAACCTGGGTGCCAGCCACCACTCACACATGTACAGGCACACACAGGTCCATGATTTTGCCAGCAGGAAGATCTTGCCCCAACACCTAGAACCAATTCCCAGGCATGACCTGAGGGGGCTTCGAGAACGTGGGATATACATAGGTCCCCACACTGGGTCATCCCAGGATGCCCTAAGAGACTTGTTGGAGCTGGAAGGGCAGGGGTTAGCCTTGAGGAAGGAAGCTGCTCATTGGTGATGCTCCCATCCACATTAAGCCAGGGGCCTGGCTGGCACATGGCACTTTAAGGAGTGCTGGAAAGAGTCTGAAGGGCTCCATGTCCAAGTGACACAATGGGGCAAGCACTCAAGGCTTAGGAGGGGCAAGGACCTGGGATTTTCCAATGAGGAAATGCCCTGCTTGGAGTAGGAGGTGATACTGGTATGTACATATTGGGAATTTGGAGCCCCTAACCCAGTTCTTTTCTCTGTTTGGTGAGAAGCATGGCACACCAGGCCCCTCTGGAGTCTTCTTTAAGTCTACATGGTATACATGGAAGAGGTGAAGACATGCGTTCCAGGGAGCACTCCTGGTCAAGGGAGGGGCTTGCCTAGATCCCTCCTCCTCCTCCTCCTGACATAGGCTTTGTGGCAGAGGCATCCCAGGATAAGATTCCAAATCAGGCCTGCTGTGAAGGTGGAGGTAAGGAAGCCGAACCTTCTGCTCCTGAGGCCAGTCTAGGGAACTATTTCTGAGGTCATCCCTGGCAGCTTTCCTTTGTGCCCGGCAGGGAAGAAGTACCCCAGTATCAAGTGCATGGTGGTGGGGCAGAGTGTGATCCACAGCAGGGCTCTTCTGTGTCCCAGGTTATCTGCTGTCTTCCACAAAGAGAGCAGAAAGCCCTCAACTGAACACACAAATGCCACCTGGCTCTTCTCAAGACAGACCCACACTCGTGTGCTGGAGCTGAGCTAAGACTTGCCTAGCTTTAAAAAAAGGGTTAGGACTCTTGAGGATGGAGTGACAGTCAGAGGGCCATGTGTCAATCACAGAACACCTTTTTTTTTTTTTTTTTTTGGTTTTACGAGACAGGGTTTCTCTGTATTGTTTTGGAGGCTGTCGGTCCAACACAGCCTCGAACTCACTGAGATCCGCCTGCCTCTGCCTCCCGAGTGCTGGGATTAAAGGTGTACGCCACCAACACCCGGCCACAGAACACCTTCTTAACCACAGTCACCTATGCTGCCTACAGCATAGCCCACCATTGATTAAGGGGCACCAAGACTTCCACACATGATGTGGGACCAAAGGAAATAGTGTTCTTCCTCTGAAAAGGCTTTAATACATTCCCGCAGGTATATCCCTACATTTGGCATGAACCCATCACCAATTCTACAGGTGGACCAATGCAGGACGCAGGTGGTATGCTATTTCAGAGGCTACAGATCAGAGCAGCCCCAAGGAAAGAGAGCTCTAACCCTGTGCACAGCGGACCCTATTACACAGTCTCTGAAGTGCTCCCCAAAGCTGTCTTGACCAGGTAACCATCTGAAAGACCATTAATGCTTTTCTCTCTCTTTTACACTCTACCCCCACCATGGGAACTACTAAACAGCTGAGCCAGAGGGACCCCTGCCTCCAAGTGCCTGGTCCCTACGTCCAGACAGGACATGCCCCAGGCCAGGCTGCTGGGCTGGTGGCAAAGCTGGAGTCAGAACTAAAGGGGGAACTACCCCTCCCCCCTTCTTCTTCTTAAGGCCTGGAGCCAGGATCTAGCTGACACCAGAATGGGGAACTTCTGGGTTTCAGAAGTCCAGGGACCTCAGGGAGCAGAAGAAGAAAGAGGGTGTGGGCACCGAGCCGAGCCCTGCCCCTAGGCACAGTGTCCCAATCCGGTTGAGCCCCTTCTGTGTGTAGTCCACTGGGACCCCAGGCAGCTCAGGTGTGAACTCAGCAGTCCATGGGGACACCCCAGGGAAGGCTGCCAGCCATGAGGGAGGCAAAGAGCCAGGCTGGGGGAGGGGACACTGGGCTGCAGAGGCGGGATCAGAGAGTGACAAAAGACAGGAAATAATGCTACCAGCTCCAAGTCAGGACCAGCTTGGGATCTTCCTGGTGGCAAGATTGTCACTGTGAGGTGGTTCAGATCGGCTCCAAGGATAACTGGCCATCCTTGACTACCTGGGAGTTGAATCCAGTCACGGTCACAGGTTGGTGAATTTCAGAGTAAGGAGGGTCCCTCTAGAGTTGGAACACAGGAAGGAGAGCAGAGGCCTTTCCTATCCTTTCAGATGCTCTAATTGGGTAGAAGGGTCAGAGGCAGCACCTGTAGTCAGAGAGTTCAGGACAGGGCAGAGTCCTTGCTATGTCAACAGAGGAAAGCAGGAGGCTCACACAGCTGGGGGTAGGGAGCAGAAGCTGCCTGGGGATGTGAAACCAAGGAGAGCATGAAAGAGTCACGTGAGGTCTGGAAAGAGAAGAACTGGGGCAGCTGCCCCTGATACCCTATTCCGAACCCCACCCCCCCCACAACATATACACACACACACACACACACACACTTCAGCCCTTCCCAGACTATAATTAGTCAGAACCCAGCTCCACCCCACCCACAACCCCACCCTAAACACAAACAGCCATTAGCCCTAGGGGAGGGGCTCTACCCAGCCCCTACCCCTATCTAATCACCCAATGGCTTGGCACAGAAGGGCAGTAAGGCTAATAGAGGCAGCCTCAGCCTCATCCACAGGTTCTCCAGAGCCCTGACTACCAGGCCTTACTTGAAGTTCTAACCAACTTACCTTCTTTCCCTCACCATGCCAGTTCTTTTACAAGAGGCCCTCAACAGAGACAAAAAGCTTACTCCCTGAATATCAAGAGCAAGGCAGGGAACAGGAAATAGCAAGAGGGATAGGAGAGGACATAAGCAAGGAGTGCCTGGCTGCAGGGTGACAGCCCTCTGTGGCAGAGAGGTATGCAGGAGATAGCCGATAAGCGAGGGGCAGTGCTAGAACATTCTTCCACCAGTGACCCTTGCCTATGTCCAACATCCCTGAGGAACCATTAGCACTAACCATCAGGAGAGGGACCAGGCAGTAGACAGGACATGGGATGTATGTTCTAGAATAGCTAGGGATCTGGTAGGGGGGACATGTGCCATATGGACGCCTCCGTAGGCTGTCAGCCCAGCTCAACCCAATCCCTTCCAATTCAATCTCTTCTGCTCCACTAGCAGGGGCCAGGGCCAAGTCCCTGGGCTTCCTGCCCTTGGGCATCAGCTGCTGGCTCTACTTCCCAGTGCGGTCTCCACGCAGGCTCCTGGGCAGTCACAAGCCCCAGGAGCCAACTCAGGAACATCCCAATGGCTTCTTGTAGGGACCTTTATCTGCTCACTTGTGGGATATCCTGACCACTGTCACACATCCCGATGAGGGGCGGAGGGAGGAGGCAGCCCCTCAGTGAACAGCTGGTCAGTGAGAAGACAGGAAGGTAGCCTGAGATTTAGTTCCAGGAAGACCCTGGGATATGCTTCCTGATCTAAGTCACTGCCAGGAGTGGGACCCATCCAAGGTGTCCTTAAACATGGTTTTAGGGAGTGAACCCGGTCTTCCACATGGGTCTGAAGTACTTCCTGCCCTTTGGGCTCTCTCAGAGGAGCCTGGGCATATTCCAGGCTGGGCAGGGCCTACAAAGGAGCCGACCTTGAGGACCTTCTCCAACCCAAGGTGACACATGCCCTCCTACCCCGCCCTTGACTGGCCTGAGCAGCCACGGGAAGGAGGTGGTAGAGCTGCCTGGACTTGCCAGCCCCGCCCTCCTGGGGTTCTCGACCCACGGCCCGGAAGTGGGTCCCTTCAGCCTCCCCTTCGGCTTCAACCTCCTCTTTGGGTAGCTGGAATCGCTGGACTCGGCTGGATAATCCAAAATAATTCCTCCTTGGCAGGCAGCCCGTGGGGGAAGGGGGACTCACATTCCAAACTCTTGTTTTTCTAAGTAACTTCCCTGAGTTCCTGGGGCTAGGAACCACGGGCCGGTCCTCAGGCCTCCCCAACTCCACGGAAGGGTGTGAGACTAGGTACCCAAGGCTCTGTAGTCTACCTGCTTATTTCTGTCTTCTCTAGCAATTCCGATACAACACAATAAGGTTCGGCACATTCCACAAAACACCTCACATGCTCGCCCGACTTTCGTAGGAACTTCACCTCCTGACGGAGGAGCGAGAACTCTTCCCACTGGCAGTCCAACTTTCTAATGGCATTCCCTATGTACCAGGGTATCATCCGGGTGTGGGATCAGGCTGACAGCTCCCACCTTCAAGGTGTGCGTGGGCAGCCTGAGTTCAGCTTTAAAGCCATCAATACAGACCGAAGATAAACATTAGAGGGGGCACTCCCCAAGGCAAATGGGGGCCCTGAGAGCCTCCATTCCTCAGAACATTACACTGACTTTGGGCCTGGCTTCAGCGTCAGTTCTGACCATCACCACCACCATGGTGGTCACTAGCCCACCTCTCTTCCTGCCTTCACCAAGGAGCTAGAAAAAGGAGTTAAGTGACGTGGCCAGAAACTCTAGGATTCTTAAACTCGGAAACCCCCAGATGGGGAGGCACTACCCATCCACACACAAATGTGCCGCACAGCCTGACCAGAGGAACAGTATGGGCACATGCAAGAGAGCTCCCTGAAGAAGGTATATGGAAGGAAAGGGCTAGCCTGTGAAAGCACCCTCCAAGTTCTAAGCATTCTGTCCTAGGTGTCCCTCCCAACACCACGCCAACGTACTACACTAGAAGCTGCGGTGACCTCACCAGGTACTACCGGGTGTTGGTTCTCTCTGTCCCTTGTCCCCTGTCCCAGAAGGTGTGGGGACTGCTGTGGTTTTGCACCCCTGGAAAAAAAGCCCCAGCAAAGCCCGGCTCTGCGCAGGCTTAGCTTGAGAACTGGGGCCTGGAGGTCCGGCACAACAGGGATGACTCTCTCTGGTCCATCGATTCGGCGGCTATGAGGTAGGGGCGCCGGCCGTGAGGGAGGGTTTCAAACTACACGGGGTAGAGTGCAGCCCCACTGGATGGCTGGGACCCGGCCAGACAGGCCAGTCTCCCAATATCCCGGCGCGGAGGGCCTCGTCGCCAACCGGTGGGGCAGGAGCAGCCAGGCCCAGCCGGTTGGACAGACAGACACAGTGCAAAGACGCAGGCCCGCGACGCCCACAGCGCAGCGGCACTGCCCTAGCACCCCCGCGTCCGGGTGCGCAAGCCGAGGCCGAGCGGCGTGGACGGCGAAGCCTGGGCCTGCGCGACGCCCCCCGCAGTTCCCGTCCCCAAGTGCGGTACCTGCTCCTCCGCAGCCGTCGCTCGATGGCGCCGGGGCCGCGCTCTGCGTTGCGCTCTGGCCCGCGCGGCTGCCATGGAGACGGGCCTTTGTGTGGCCGAGGAGGGGCCGGAGCGCGCGGGAGCTGCCGGCCCCGCCCCCGCCAGGGGAGAAGGAGGGCGGAGGACAGGGGCGGGAGAGAGGGAGGGACGAGACTAAGGGATAGAGGATAGCCCACGGAGGGTAGGAGGGGCTGCTGGCTTCCCAAGCATACCCCTCGTTTCCCCCGATTCAGAGCCACTTAAGCACACTGCTTTGCTTGGAGGTTCGCGCCCTGTAGCAATCCGCGCGCCCTGCATGCTTGCAGTCCTGTCCTCCCCCCACCCCACCCCCGCCCCGTCATCATAGTAGTTCGCTGAGCCTGGGCACCACCCCGGGAGTGCCTCAGGCCGAACTGAATGGCGCACGCGGCCGGGCACTGGTGGGTGGCTTCGGTTGGGCCAGACTGAGGCCTTTAAGTGTTCCTCTTTGAGATGGGCGGGGCGCATGGAACCTCACCACCAGACTGGCAACAGGGAGGACCATACTAGTGTGGTTCCCGAGAGTGATTCCAGCCGCTCAGTCTCCTGCAGAATAGCTGTACTCTGCTCTCACTGCCCTCCTTCCTGGTCTCTCCCCCCCCAGCCCAACATATCTGGGCCTTATGGACCCCTAAGTCTTCATCTATAGGGTAGGAAAGAACCACTCCCTAGAGTTCCTACTTCTTTCTGATCTCCAAGTAGTCACCCATGCTGTGGTCCCAAGAATTTGTAACATGGCAATGATCTCACTGTCGCAGAACAGGGTTTGGGACTAGTCTGCTTATCTCAGCTCGTTTCCACCCTGGGGTATCTATCGCCTCCACCCAAATTTGCCCTCCTTGAAGACTGCCTACTTCCTCTTATTTCCTTAGGCATCTCCTCCCCAACTTTGGGGCTACACCCCAATTCTTAAGCCTTCCCCAGCCAAAAGACTTTACAAACCTGAGGCTTTCGGCGGTCATCTAAGCAAGACTGACTTGCCCCATTGCCAAGCAGCCAGGCTTTGTTCATATTACCTTCTTCCCTCCACCAACAACCCCCCTACACACATACCAAAATATCCAGTGATTTGCAGGGCTGCAAACTTTGTATCAAAATAATTAAGTATTGTACCACAAAAAGATATTTTAATACCAAAGTTGTGGGAAGCCAGTATTCCAAACTGAGTAGAGCTCAAAATAGAAGGCAGGAAGCTGGAGGGTAAAAGATCCCTCCTGTCCTTCCGGTCTTGTCCCTGGGGCTGGCTGCCTTATGACCTCCACTCAGCCCTCCTAGGTCCCCTGAATGCTGGCTCACAGCTCTCTCCAACATGCCACACAAGGGAGCCCTGGGGATCACAGCATCTTGGATTGGTTTTTCACTATCCAGGCAGCTTAACCATGAGGGACCTTGGGCTTGAGGGGGAAGGGAGCACCTCCTTGAAGCCATCTATCTTCTCTCCAGGCCCTGCCTTGGACATGGACTTGAAGTCTTGAACCCACTCTGGACAAAGGCCCCACTAACTCAGAGCTGATCCCATCCTGGTAGAGCAAGAGTAGAAAAGGATGTATCTGGTAGGCTGTAAACTCCCCAGTAGCCAGGACAAGCCTCTAAAAGGAGATGGTACTTTCCTCATTCCAATGTGTGTCAGCCTTGGATCTGTGCCCTAGACAATACTTTTGTAAACACACACACACACACACACACACCCTACACACCCCTAAATCTTTTCCTGAGTTCCATGTCCAATGTTCTGAGAATGATTGATTGCTAGGACAGAGGCTAATTACGTCCCAGGTGGATGATAGTGGAGATCCATGGGGGCCACTATGAAGCTTACTGTGTGACAGCCCTCAGAAAGTAAAAACACAACACATTGCAGTGGCATTTGAGATGTGCTCTTCACAGTGGGATCACTAAGACCTGGGTGCTTTAGAGCTGACCACTGTATATTTGGATATGAGGCTGGGCACACCAAAGGCAGTTTCATAGACTCTGAATGGCTAGCTCTGTGCTGTCCCCATAGCCTGGGAGCTCCATCTGTCACAGTGGAAGATGCCATATTTCTGAAGATCCCTTAGAGACCAGGCTTTTGGTGGGGAGGCTGGCATCTCTGTTCCTGGAGGTGCCAGGGCCACTCTTCCTAATGCCAAGGACTCAACTTCCACCTGCTCTGCTCAGTTTTCTAACTGGACACCGAGAATGATCTAGTCACTGTACACCTTCATCACATCTATCTTGTCTATTTCCTTGCCTGTAAAATGGATACAATGTGACACGCTGTTATAGGCTGAGGTTACGGAAGTAAAGAGAAACACTTACAAAGATCTAGGAACAGGGCTGGCATCTGTGTACAATGGACAGCCTTTGCTATGTCTGGACTTAGCCAGGATCACTGGGGAAGTACATACTTGAGGGTTTGATCAAAGAGTCCAAAGAACCCAGAGGGTTACAGTCATGCTACAGGGGAGCTCTAGAGGAAAGCAAAAACTCATCATGCATTACAGTGTGTACAACCTGTTCTTTCTCTTTTTGGTTTTTTGAGGCAAGGTTTCTCTGTGGCCTTGAAGGCTGTCCTGGAACTAGTAGTTGTAGACCAGGCTGATCTCAAACTCTGCTTGTCTCTGCCTCTCGAGTGCTGGGATTAAAGATGTGCACCACCACCTTGGTTTTTTGAGGCAGGGTTTCTCTGTGTAGCCCTAGCTGTCCTGGAACTAGCGCTGTAGACCAGGCTGGTCTCGAACTCACAGAGATCCACCTGCCCCCTTCCTGAGTTGAGTGCTGGGATTAAAGGCACACACCACCACTGGCCAGCCAGCCCACCATTTCTAATTAATGCCCCTCTTACCCTGCTGCTGCCCAACACTGCCCAGTGAGTCACCTACATAGCCTGGTCTCTCAGATTTAGAGTCTAAGTGGTCAGGACACCCATCTACAGGTTTCTGATACTCAGCTAGGTTTTGGCTGCAGCTCTGGATCCATGCTTTAGTCTGTACCATCATCCCAAGGGCCCTGACATTGTGCTGGGTAACATTGTAACTCATTGTACCCAGGCGGGGTGGGGGTGGGGGGGTCAGTGCACAACAGTATCCAATCCAGGAAGGGGTGAGACAGGGCCAGCAGAGACTCCTCCAACATCCAGGCTGTGGTTCCAAATGCCATTTTTACTGCTGGGACAAAGGTGGTTCTGGGAGGAGGGCCGAAGCCAGGACAGAACCTTGAAGGGAAAGGAAGGCTTGGCAGACTTAGCCCCTGGGATCACACAGGTTAACCCTTTCCTTGGAAGAGCACAGAACAGTACCTTCAAGAGATACCTTGGCCTGAGAGATCAACTGTACCCTCGACAGCAGAGAATGCAACATTAGGCTACAGCCCACGGCTTTCAAGCTTTAAGGGGAGGGGCAGAAACAAGAGGAAAAGCTGGAGCAGGTTTGGGGGGGCGTGGTCCCAAGAAAGGGAACAAGGACTATGGTGAGGACCTCAATGAACAGCCCGAGCTTGCTTTCCAAGTGGGGTGCCAGGTCCCATAACCATCCCTCACTCTCTCATTCTTACCAGTCAGAGCAGGAAGGAGATTTAGGTCCTCACAGAACAAAGAGTTTCTGCGCTCTCAAGTAGCTGCCTCGGCAAAGTACCCATCGCGCCCAGAAGAGGGAATGAGAGGAGTGTAAAGAGGCCCTGGCCCTGGCAGCTGCCTCCCTGTTCTGAGCTGGGAAGCCTGCTGGGCTAAAGGACCCACAACACAAAGCATCCTGAAGTGTGGGCAGATGGGAGCCAGGAGGGGGCAGGTGGTAGAGGAACCTACAGCAGTGAAATCTACCGGCCGCTCCCACCTGCAGCTTCAGAGGACAGGTGGGGCCCAGGAAGGAGTGAGGCAGTGCCAGCAGAGAACCCCCCCATAGTCAGGGACCAGACTGTCATTCCAAATGTCATTTTTACTGCTGGGACAGAGGTGGTTCCGGGAGTGAGGCTGAAGCCGAGGTAGGAGCCCAAGGCTGGGAGCTCCAGCTTGGTGGAAGCCTGCCTTCACTGGAGAGAGAACTTGGCAGACTTAGGCCCCCAGGACCACACAAGTTGGCTCTGTCCTAGGGAGGGCACAGGACTGCTTGTAGGTCCTTGGGCAGGGAGCCAATGGCTGTATCGATGTACAGCTGAGCTCGCTGCAGTGTCACCTCCTTCACAGGGAGCTGATGGCCCTGTGCCCGCACCTGGAGGGGCAATGGTAGTGAGGGGTGGCCACACATCTGGCCTGGCATGCGGAGGCAGTAAAGAAGGCTTCTCACCAGCTTTTCCCGAAGTTTCAGGACGAGGTCCACCACTTCCACCTCCGACTTGTCCTTCATCCAGGCCTCGATGTTCTGCGAGGGACAGTTCAGGTTCTTCCCACCAAGCCTCCCACCTACCCTGGGCCTGCACCTATCCCCTCCCTTTGCCTTCCCTCACCGCCTCACAAATAGCTTCCAGGTGCAGAGCTTCCAGCTTCTGGGCCATCTCTTTGTGTCGCTGCCGATACCAACCATCGAAATGGGGAGACTTGAAAAAGCGCCTGCGATGGCAAGAGGCAGCTGAGGAGCTGACCTGTATATGTGGGGCACCCACAGCAGCCTGTGCTCAATGGTTCCCACCTGTATATGTGGGGCACCCACAGCAGCCTGTGCCCAATGGTTCCCACCTGTAGAGGCCCAGCCAGTCGCCCTTGAGAATGCAGGTGAGCTGGGGGCCCGCATGTTCCAGGCTACGCAGGAAATCATCCTGGCGGAAGGGGCAGATCTGGGGGGGGCTCTGAGACAAAGGTAATGTGAGCTGTGTGCTAACGAGCACAGACAGACATACAGGTCCTCCCTTTCAGCGGGATTGAACCCCCCCTCCAGGATCTAGCTAAAGATCGTCACTCCACCCTGTTTGGGACAGATCCCTGGACAGTCCCTCAGGAGTTCTGTCAGCGCTTCTCTGCCCTGTGCGGGATGCCTGGCAGACACAGGGTCAACTTCTTGTCCTGGTGGCTCCTGCCTCACAGCTACCCTCTCTGTTCCATATGGACTCCTGCCTCTGGCCTTTCCCTCTTGGTGTGGGGATTGAATTGACCCTCCCCAGAACTCCCGGGACTCCACCTTCCAGGGTGTGATGCTCTTCTGTAGTGGCATGAGGCTGGCCATGTAGTGCTCCTGGGGGGTAAGGGACAAGGAATGCATGTGAGCCACAACCCCCGTTGTCCTAGCTGCTGCTTTCAGCACCCCCTACTACTTCTCCCCCACACCCATCGCTGGCACACCCTGCCCGTCTCACCAGAGGAATGATGAAACTCTGTGTGAGCTCTAGGAGGTGCTGCCTCAGCAGGGCACTTAGCACATCCCATGGCCTCTTCTTCTGTACACCCTGCAACAGGAAGTAGGGGACTTCCTGTCGAGGCTCAGCATTGGCTGGTTCCCTGCATCCCTCACACCACACCAAGTACCCACATCCAGGCTCCACCCAGTAGCCTATACCTTGAGCAGTCGTTTAAGCAGTGCTTTGTCCCGGTGGAGGTGGGCAGTGTATGAGGTGTAGAGGCCTGACGGGAGGTCAGAGTTGTGGCTGTCCATTCAGCCTCCCTTCACTCCCACAGCTCTACTGACGATGAAGATGGCTGCCTGATCTGCCTACAGCCCCATTCCCTGACAGGACCTGCACATCCCTCACCCCGTCAGTCCCGAGACTTAAGAGACCTGCTAGAGAAGACAGTGCCCCCGGCCTGCCACCATGGGGCCTGAGTAGAGAGAAACAGAGTCAGAAGCCTGGCCATCACCACTGTGGGACTCTACCAAGTGCAGGACAGGCCTTACCAGAGTAGATGGGGCTGCAGCCAGGGGGGAAGCACAGACCTGGCTTGGTGTCGAGGGTCTTGAGCCGTGAGGGCTTTTTAAGCTTGACTTGCTTAGGAAGGTCCCCTGTGAAATACACCCAGTAGCTAAGGCTCAGCACCCACAGCTCTGCCTGTGCCTATGGCTCCAGGGGTATTGGGTACACAGCCCCACCTTAGGTCCCAAGCCAGTGAGGCATACAGCCCCTGGTCTTCTCACCTGACATCTTGGGCTCCCCAATTCGGAGGACATGAGGCCAGTGCTGGAGTGTTTTGATAAAGAAAGGGTTTGTGACTCCCAGGACCACGTTTGGTCTAGAGAGAGAGAGAGAAGAGGCAGAGAGAGGCCTAGGGAAGGGAGTGTGTGAGAGCAGGAAGGGAGGACATGTACTTACGGAGCCTGTGTTCGTGTTGTGAGCTCCTTGAACTCGCTGTCGTGAATGGTGAAGTAGGGGCGGAAGTCACAGCAGAACTTCAGGGGCTGGAGGCAACTGTGGGGTTAGAGCAGCAAGGAACACGTAAGGCTGGGGAAACCAAGCATAGCCGTGACAGTCTAGTGGTACGGTTTAGTTTGTACCTGGTCAGGGCTAGCACCAGCTCTGAAGACACATCAGGTGAGGGTGCCAGGACCACTAGGGGCTCCCCGAGGAGCATGAGCTCCCACAGGGTCTGCACATGGGTCAGCACTGGCCGGAAGCACCTGGTGCAGGAGAGCAATCAGGGCAGCCAGGCAGCAGGGGGCTGTGGCGAGCACAGAGCACTGCCTCTCTCAAAGACAGGAGTAAAGATGGTTAGAGTGCAAGGGTATCTCAGGTCTCCACAGTCACCCCATGTTCTGACAGACCACCTAAGCTAATGCTGGCTGGCCTAGGGGACCTGATCTAGACCCTGCCTGTGAAGGGCTGCAGATCCAAAGTCCCCCCAGAGTGGGGAATGGTCTACCAGCCAAGTGGCCTGCTACTCCTACTGTCTCTTATGCCTCCAGACTAAAGTCATGGCTCCTGTTGGGCCCAGAATGGAACAAAATAATCTCAAAGTCCAGGATCCCTTGAAGACACCAAGACAGGCACAAAGGGGCAGCCTCAGAGAACAAATGTCTTCCTTACAAGTTCTGTGAGCACAGAACCTTCCTGCCCACTGTGCCCATTTTTCCTAAGTCAGGCTCCTGGGTGCACATCTCCTCTTCTAAGGGTCACTCGGATGAGCAGCTTCTCATGGCAAGTTGTGCACTGCCTGACATTCACACTTGTGTGTGTATGACTGTGGGTAGGCTCCCTCAGAGTAGCCTGTGATACCCTACAGAGCTCACCTAAATAGATCCAGTTCGTGGACACTAGTGAGGACGACTGGGGCTGGCAGCAGGTTCTGAGAAGTGAAGGGAATGTAGGTCAGGCCAAGGTGAACGCTCTATCTGATGACAACTCTGCAGGCCCTGCCCCATGCCATCCCCCCCCCCCCTCCCCGGCACAGGCTCCACACTGAAAATGCTGGCCACCACTGTGGTTTTGCCTAGGTTTGGCCACCCACAAAGTAGGCTGCTGAGTCAGAGGCGATAACCACCCAAGCCCAGGGACCAGGCTCGGGCTAAGGCCCAGCTCCTTCTACCCCATCCCCCACCTCTTGGTCACACTGCTTTGGAGGATTGGATTCCAGCTTGTCCACCCTGGATGGGATGCGCACCTAGGGAGGAAGGAAGCAGCTGCCAGAAAGGGTATAGAGTGTCTCCACCCACCAACACCAGCATTGCTTACTCTCCAGCTGGCCCTCACCTGAAAGACGATTCCCATGACAGGTAGGCTCAGGGTCTGCCCAGGCACAGGAGCTGGCCATTGGTCAATCTCATTACAGACTGTGGACACAGGTAGCCAATGTCAGGAGCCCTCCCAAAGGGCTGAGATAAGACAACGTTGGCCATGTCTGATGGCCACTCACCTGCTTCCAGGCAGGGTGCCAGCTTCTCGAAGTATTCAGGGGCGATCAGGCTTAGGAGTGACTGAAATAGCCGGACAAATGGCAGGCGGGACACCAGCACTAAAGACTGTGATGATGCAGGGCCAATCAGAGGGCATTCAGCTACAGACATCAGTCCCATAATTCAGGAGCCCTTGGCAACCCTGAAGCCGTGCTTACTCAGAGCTGGTCAGGGTAGCACATCCCCGCCACCCCATGGGACAGCTGCCACAGAAAAGCCTGACTCATGTATCAGAACTGGGCAAGAGAAAGCCATCATGATGTCTATACCCTGAGCTAATGTAGATAACCACAGGGTAGATAACTCCAGGTGACAAGCAGGGCTAGGACTGGGCCTGGGACCTTCAGAGGGAAACGTGAACTGGCTGAATCGTCCTTATCCTGGCAGTATGATGACATCAACAAGACTCAAGGAGCTGGGGTATTCTGGGTCCAAGGACAGAAAGGCCTCAAGTGCCATCCTAGGCAAAGAAAGGCTGCAGGAAGAACTGAGCCCAGTGGTGGCTCCTCCTTGGCCATGTTATCCAGGGGGGTTGCAGATAGGTAGGCACCCTTAGGGGCTCAGGATTCCTCACTAGCTGTCCTCCAGCTGTCCAGCATTTATTACCTCTCCACAGCACTATCTCACAGCGGCAGGCACCTCACCTTCTGGAAGTAGCCCCTCTTCACAGAGCTGTCCTTCACCTGTCTGAAGTACACATAGCCCAGGTAGTGTGCTGGCTCTCTCTGTAAGGAGTGCAGTGTTAGCCATGCCCTACAATGACCATTAGCTAGATCCAGGGTGACATAAGTAGGGGCTGCTAAGGAGAAAACCTAAGACCAGGCATGGTGGTGCATGCCTTTAGTCCTGGCACTCAGGGTTAGGGCTGGAAGGCAGAGGCAGGTGGATCTCTATGAGTTCAAGGCCAGCCTGGTCTATATAGTGAATTCCAGGACAGCTACGTAGAGGCTACCTAGAGAGAACCTATCTTAAAAAAAATGTTGCCAGGCGTTGGCGGCCCATGCCTTTAATCCCAGCACTTGGGAGGCAGAGGCAGGCGGATCTCTGTGAGTTCCAGGTCAGTCTGGTCTACACAGCTAATTCTAGGGCAACTACATAAAGAAACCCTGTCTTGAAAAACAAACAAAAAGAAAAACTAACCTAAGAATTCAGGAGATCTAGGAAGCAGTTGCCCAAGACTAGGGCTTACCCTCTGCCTACCACAGCGGGACATAGAATTCCCTAGTTCAGAAGGTGGGCTAAACCAGTATAGGGGATATTGGCTGACACGGAAAGGACTTAGCCAACATGAGAGTGCCTCAAGATCCCTGGAAGGTTCTGCAGTCTTCTCATTGACTGGTGACCAGCAAGGGAGACCAACTTTAGTGGTGCCGGTGAACCCACAAGAGTGGGCCCAGGCGGAGACCCCCAGTGTAGGATCAGCAGGCTTACAGTTACTGACCTTCCAGGATGGGCCTGGCCAGCACTTGTACCACACAAGCCCAAGGGCTTTAAAGCATATATTCACATCCACGAACCAGATCCATCCCAGTACTCACCTGTAGGGCCAAGGGGGCCTTGCTGTTATAAGGCCTGTCGTCACCATGCCAGAGGCTCCTCTGTCCTCCACACTGACGCATACGGAAACTGAACTGAGTGTCTCCAAGACATCCTGAAAAGAAGCACCCCGCCACGCATGTCCTCCCAGGGTGTGAAGACTCTGGTACACTCAAGGGAAAACTGACTGGAGGACCTGTCTCCCAACAGACTCCTATCCTGATCCTACACAGCACATAAGGGTCTTGGGCTGAATCAACACAGAAAACCCTTAAGTTTCCCTGCAGGAACCTGACTCAATCAACTTGGAAAAGGAGAATACACTAAACAATGCTCAACTTGGTGGCTGCTGTAACTGAGTGAAGGAGACCGGACTGTCCAGATAGATGGATATTTATGTTTTTTAAATTATTTTTGTTTTATATGCATTGGTATTTTGCCTGCATGTACATCTGTGTGAGGGTGTCAGATTTTAGGATTAGATAGTTGTGATTTGCCATGTGGGTGCTGGGGATTAAACCCGGGTCCTTTGGAAGACCAGTCAGTGCTCTTAACCACTGAGCCATTTCTCCAGCCCCCTATTTATGGGTTTTAGAGAACCTGGACATCTTGCTGCAGCTGGGGCTCTGGTAAGGGTCCTCGTATACTGCTGGCAGCCCACCTACCACTGGCCCCATCCACTTTTGGCCCATTGCCTGCCAGCACAGAACCAGTGTCCAGCTGAGGGAGTGTGGGATTACCTACCTGAATGGGAGTCTGGAAAGGACAGGTAGCAGATGCTGCTTTTCTGAAACAAACAGGGCCCGGTGAGGGCTGGCTCACTCCTGGGCACATCCATTCCCAAGAAGTCCAGAACCTACCTCCTTGTCTGTGAGCTGGAAGTCACTCGGGTAGACTAGCTGCAGGGGAACACAGAGGATTTGGTGACCCTGTATCTGCTGGACGAGACACCATTCACTAAGACAGCTCAGCGGGGCCATAAGCATGAGTTTGCTAGGGCGGGCTATCCTTCTGGCCCGCTTCCCAGCCTCCCAGTGACCTCCTCCCTCCCTACATGTTATCTTGCATCAGAACCTCCTCCTCCTCAAATCAGATTCCTCCTGTCCATGGCCTGCAGCCCTAGTGTATACCGGGTGTGCTTGCTGGTTTTCCGTCAACTTGACAAGAGCTAGCTAGCATCATTTGGGAAGAGTGACTCTCAATTAGAAAATTCCTCCCTAAGGCTAGCCTGTAGTATACTTTCTTTTTTCTTTTTTTTTTTTTTTTTTTTTTTTGGTTTTTACGAGACAGGGTTTCTTTGTTTTGTTTCGGAGGCTATCGGTCCAGCCTGGCCTCGAACACACAAAGATCCGCCTGCCTCTGCCTCCCGAGTGCTGGGATTAAAGGCGTGCGCCACCACCGCCCGGCTTGTAGTATACTTTCTTAATTAGCATATGAGGTGGTAAGGCCCAGCCTGTTATGGGTGCTGCCACCCCCTCGACTGGTGGTCCTGGGTGATACAAGATACTAAGCTGAGGGCCAGGCATGGTGGTGCACGCCTTTGATCCCAGCACTCAGAGGCAGAGACACTGATTGAGACTGAAGAAGGTCTGTTTCACGGGACGCCTCCCTCAAAAAGCCAATGTATGTGAAGGCAAAGCCAACATGGGCTACATAGTGAGTTTTAGGACAGCCTGACTACAGAGACCCTCAAAAAACAAACAAGCAAAAAGTATGTGGCCCACGCCTTTAATCCCAGCACTCAGGAGGCAGAGGCAGGCGGATCTCTGTGAGTGTACAACTAACCTGGTCTACAGAATAAATTCCAGGACATCCAGAGATACACAGAGGAAACCCTGTCTTGAAACACACACTCTTCCCCCAACAAAAAAAGAATCATACTTTTCTGTTTAGACCTCTAGCCTGTCAGATCATCTGGGTCATAGCATTTCTCTAATCACAAAAGTCTCAAGGGTCACTTTTCAGCCTTACCTCAGCTACATTCACAGCCTCTCAGGCTCCCACAGGTCCCTCTGAGACATTGTCATCTACAGTGGACCTCCTGTGATGGTCAGTTCCCTGGTTTGTGTCAGGGCCGTTTAGAACAGACATCTTGACTGGACCTGCCAAAAGCCTCACTGAGTCTAACACATTTTCTTCCTCCTCCTCTTCATCTTTCTGGCTGTTTTTGCTTGTTTTCTTTTTCTTTTCTTTTTTCTTTTTTTTTTTTTTTTTGTTATTGTTGAGACAAAGTCTCATTGTGTAGCCTTGGTTGCCCTGGAACTCATTCAGTTGACCAAATTGGCCTTGAACTCACAGATATCAGCCTGCTTCCACTTCCAGTACAGCGAAGCCGGTTTTTTTTTCTTCATACAACATCTGATTCTGAAGCTCGGGCTACTCTGGAACTCACTGTATAATCCATGCTAGCTTCCAGTTCATGATCCTGCCTCAGTCTCCCAAATGCTAGGGTTTGCATGCACCATTATGCCTGGCTGATATTTTCATCTTATCAAGAAGGGAAGCTGCCTTTTATGCGTAGGTGGGATGGAGGCCTTCATGCCACAGAAAGACCACATCAAAAGCTCAAGGCCCCGCCCAGCTAGCTGCACACAGCTGGTGACCAGATGCCAAAGGATGAGAAGAGCTCAAAACGGAGGGGCCAAGCAGGGAGGGCCTCACAGGGTCTGGATCTGATTCTAAGTGAAAGAGGCAGGATTCTCAGCAGGAAAATCAGAAACAAACTATGGGTGACATTGGAGACTGTAGCAGACCCAAAGTGAAATCTGGAGGGGCACGGACCCTAAGACTCCGGCTTGAGCAATTTAGGGCAGGAGATATTTTTGCCTCCACGGAAGACGTTGTGGAAGATACATTGGAGGCCTTGGAGACTGTCCCTTCCTTGGCCCCGGGTGTCAGGCAATAGGAAAGAGGGTTAGGAAAGAGGAGGTCGCTAAATTAGTCATTAGTCCAAGGAAGTGGGGAAAAGGTGAGCCTGAAGTTACAAAGTATTCAGAGAGGCGCCTAAGAGGACCCTAGACCAAGCAGGAAGGCTACAGGCCAGGAGGCCACGCGACCTGCTTCCTGGAGGGTGGGCGCGCAGCGTAGAGACTTGGCTGGGAGGAAAGGAGCCGCAGGGGTGCAGGCGAGGGAAGGGAGGAGCGTGGGGGGAGGTGGGGCACCGGGGAGAGGAGGGACGTCCGGAGAGGAGGGGCGTCTGGAGAGGTTCAGGCCGTGGAAGGCGAGGCACGCCGACAGTTTTGGAGGGTCGGCCAGCGGGACAGCTTACCTCCAGCGCCTGGCCCAGCTCCAGATCGAAGGTGACCACGCACACGCACTCCAGCCAGGCAGAGAAGCGCGCCCAGGGTATCGCCGAGGCCCGCGCTGCACGGCCGGAGGACGTGGACCTAGTCGTGCCTAGTCCTCCGCCAGCTTGACGAGGCCCGGTGCCCAGCGGCACCTCCATGGTGGTAGCTCAAAGCGATACCCGCACGTTGCGGGGGGGAAACGCAGGGGTTCACCTGGCCCGCCTCGGAGCAGTCGAGCTGCTGCCGCAGGCCAGAAGGTCCCCTGAGCAGCCGCGCGCCCCCTGGCGCCAGAGGAGCGTCCGCCCTGGGGCGTCGGCGAATGTACCAGCGAGAAAGGCCCCAGAGGGTTAGAGGGGTCCGGAGCTGGTGGCACTCCCCGATAGTGGAGGATGCGTGACCTGGGTCCGCCCGTGTGGGGGGATCGGGGCTGGTGCGGCTCTGAATGGTTCTGATATCCCTGGTCCGCGTCTGGGCGTGTCGTGGCGCCTCCCAGGGGTGGCTGACGTTTTTGCTTCTCTGAACCACATAGAGAAATTCTATTGGGCTACCTAGGGGGTATCCATCCCAGCCGAGGGTGAGCTTAATGTTCATTTTGCGTGTCATCCTCACTGGACCTTGTCATCTACAGCGTTCACACTGGGCAGATCGCCCAAGCTAATTACAAACCTCAAAAGCTCAATCCTTTAAAAGTGTGAAAACCACTTCCGGGAGGTGGTGGCGCTCGCCTTTAATCCCAGCACTCAGGCGGTAAAGGCAGACAGATAGCTGTCTGAGTTCGGGCTACCGAGCGAGTTTCAGGACAGCCAGGGCCACGCAGAGAAACCTGTCTCTGAAAAACAAAACAAGCAAAAATGTTCGGGGCTGGGAAGATGGTTCAGCGAAAAAGAACACCGGCTGCATCCACACATGACTGCTCACAACTGTAACTTCACTTCCTGCAGATTCGATGCCCTCTTCTGACCACCATGGGCACCATGCACAGGCAAACACTAGAAAATAAATCTTTTGTTTGTTTGATTTTTTTTTTCCGAGACAGGGTTTCTCTGTAGCTTTGGAACCTGTCCTGGAACTCGCTCTGTAGAGGAGGCTGGCCTCAAACTCACAGAGATCTGCCTGCCTCTGCCTCCCGAGTGCTGGGAATTAAAGGTGTGCGTCACCACCGTCCGGCAGAAAATAAATCTTTAAACACCAAAATGTTTGTGTCTGAATGTATAACTTCGTGTCCGAATGTATAACTCTCCTGTACTTCATTGGGGCTCCCTGTACAGGGTTGGACACCATCGATAACCCACATCTCCACCCACTTTTTATTGACGGCCATTCTATCCGAGTTGGCATATCTGCCCCTGACCCACTCCCACTCCAGGCTGGTGGGCCCAGTTTGTCTAACAATGAGGCAGCCTGGCCAATTAATGCTGCTGCCTCTAGGAGTTTGCAGGCTAACTCGAGAGGCCGGGTTTATAGAAGGGTGAATTTAGAACAAAGAGACAATGAGGCAGGCTAGAAATTCAGAAATACCGGGGGTGGGGGAACAGACAAGGGGAATGGAGAGCCTTCCTCCCCACCCCCAGCCTCTTACCAGAAGAGAAGCAAGAAATCTAGCATAATTAACAACTGCTTAAGATCTTGCTTTTCTCTGTTATAAATCTGCTGTTTTCCAGAAATCCCATCAGAAACTTCGTTTACAAGGAAGGGACATAAACAAAATCTCTTATGCAACCCTAATAATTTCTGGTTTTACCTTACCAGATTGCCATCCAAGGCATTCCCAGAGCTTCCTCACCCATCCTACTTATGGGGAGGGCACATTAGTAATCTTTGGAGATACAACCTGAGAGCCATCCAGATGGGATATGTGTGATCCATGCTGAATAATTGTTAAACTGTCTTTTACAGAGCCCGTACCTGTGGATTTGTCTTACTGGCTCCTCGAGAAGCCTACGCCTATACTCTTGGATGTCTTACTTTCTTCTGAGTTCCATGCCCCCCAGCACACATCCTCTCTATGTAGTTTTGGCTGGGGTAGAACTTGATATGTAGACCAAATTCATCTTCAACTCAAAGAACTCTGCCTGCCTCTGCTGTGATTAAAGGTGGCAATCACCATATTTGTATTGCCTCTCTTAACTCCTGTGCTTAAGTCTATATAAAATATTTTTTATTAAGTCCCAGCTCTTATTCTATTAGAAATTGGAGCAAAGTGCTGATGGAGATAATGAGGGTGAAAAGTATTTAGCCCATGGGTTGCAGTTTTACTTTTTGATGCGGGATGTCCTTCAGCATGCTGTGAATATGTGTTGCTTTTATTGGTTGATGGATAAAGCTGATTTGGCCAATGGCCAGGCAGAATACAGCCAGGTTGAAAATCCAAACAGTTACAGAGTGAAAGAAGGACAGAATCAGGGGTTATCATGCAGCCACTGGAGAAGCATGATGTGAGATAAGAGCCACAAGCCTATGGAAAATATAAACTCACAGAAAGGGGTTAATTTGCCAGGTGGTGGTGGCGCACGTCTTTAATCCCAGCAATCGGGAGGCAGAGACAGTGGATCTCTGTGAGTTCGAGACCAGCCTGGTCTACAGAGCAAGTTCCAGGACAGGCTCCAAAGCAATACAGAGAAACCCTGTCTTGAAAAAACAAAACAAAACAAAATGAAAATAGGTTAATTTAACTGTGAGAGTGAGTGAGTAATAAGCCTGAGCCATTGACCAAACAGTTTTAACTAATACTAAGCCTCTTGAGTGTTTATTTGGGAACTGATGGGCAGGAGAAAAACCTTCATTCAGAACTTTTCATTGTCTTAGAGCCACCTTTTTTTTTTTTTTTTTTTTTTTTTTTTTTGGTTTTTCGAGACAGGGTTTCTCTGTGGCTTTGGAGGCTGTCCTGGAACTAGCTCTGTAGACCAGGCTGGCCTCGAACTAACAGAGATCCGCCTGCCTCTGCCTCCCGAGTGCTGGGATCAAAGGCGTGCGCCACCAACGCCCGGCTAGAGCCACCTTTTTGTCATGAGAGTGCCTATCATACTCCTAAACTATCAATAAAGATGATGTTTTCATTAAAAATGAATAAATAAATTCAAATTTGGGTTCATAAAATGGCTAGTCTTGAAATGTCATTCTTTTCTATGTCAAAGCCACAAATCCAAATCTGGTTTTAGCTGAGCTCCTTAAATGTCTAGAAATCAGGCTACTAAGGAAGGCAGTATAGCAACACTATCTAGCATACTATGTATTTTAGGTGATTTTACTTTTTAAGCCCTTAAGCCCTTCTTCCAAAATTCATGACTTAGACCAAGCTTCAGCATCAATCTCAATTTCTTTGTTTTTTTTGGGGGGGGAGGGGTGTTAGAGACAAGGTTTCCCTGTATCAGCCCTGGCTGTCTTGAACTCACTTTGTAGACCACCTGTCTCTGCCTCCTGAGTGCTCCTGGTATTAAAAATGTCCCAGCTTCAAACTCCAAGTCTTTTTTTTTTAATAATTTATTTTTATTTTATACACTGGTGTTTGGCCTGCATGATTGTCTGTATGAGGGTGTCAGATCTCTTGGAACAGGAGTTAGAGACAGTTATGAGCTGCCATGTGGGTGCTGGGAATTCAACCAGGGTCCTTTAGAACAGCAGTCAGTGCTCTTAACCGCTGAGCCATCTCTCCAAGTCTTAAATGGTTTTTCCATCCATGTGAACTTATAGGAAGGTCAAGTGGACCTCTGGAACATATGTCATCAAAGCAGAAAAGAATGCAAAGGTCCCCACACACACAATAATAACCTTTTTGTTATTATTGTTGTTCATTGATTTTTTTTTTGCTCATTGACTTTTAATTGCCTAGAAATTATTCGCTTGCAGTCCATCTGCCAAGAGTAGTTATGAAGTTCCAAGCAGGGATGTGAGCTTATGGTTATTTATGAGCCACAAAATCATTATCTTTTTTAATTACCACATTTTGTTAAGTTTAAGATAATTATTTTATAAATAAGGAAACTGCTACCAACTGCAGTGGTAAGTGAAGCAAGCCCCTTTTCCCCACCTGCAGCATGCCAATGGTGGCAAGACTAGTTTTGCAAGTGGAGATGAGAGAGTCAGTCTCAACTGTTTTCCCCGGGATAGTTTGACAGGTCTCTCCATTGGTTGAAATTATGAAAAACTGTTTTCGAGACAGGGTTTCTCTGTCTCCAACCTGTCCTGGAACTCACTCTGTAGACCAGGCTGTACTCAAACTCACAGACATCCACCTGCCTTTGCTTCCCGAGTGCTGGGATTAAAGGAGTGTGCCTCCAATGCCAGGCTCTTCACAGCGTGTTTTTTTTTTTTTTTTTTATTACAACGCTGAGCCATCACTCCAACCCCTCCAACTAATTTTTTGTTTTGTTTTGTTTTTGAGACAGAGAATCTCTGTGTGTATTCTTTTTTTTTTTTTTTTTTTTTTTTTTGGTTTTTCGAGACAGGGTTTCTCTGTGGGTTTGGAGGCTGTCCTGGAACTCACTCGGTAGACCAGGCTGGTCTCGAACTCACAGTGATCCTCCTGCCTCCCGATTGCTGGGATTAAAGGCGTGGGCCACCGACCCCCGGCTCTCTGTGTGTATTCTTGACTGTCCTGTAACTCACTCTGAAGACCAGGCTGGCCTGGAACTCATAGAGACCTGCTTGTCTCTGCTTCCCCAGTTCTGGGATTAAACGCTCTTGGGCCACCACCACCTGGCATGAATATATATTAAAATGCATGAAACTTCAATGAATTTTGACAAATGAACCAAATCAACAAATTTGTATAACCCAAACACTAGTAAGATATAAAAAGTTGACGGGTGGGAGCCGGGCGTTGGTGGCGCACGCCTTTAATCCCAGCACTGGGGAGGCAGAGGCAGGCGGATCACTGTGAGTTCGAGACCAGCCTGGTCTACTGAGTGAGTTCCAGGACAGCCTCCAAAGCCACAGAGAAACCCTGTTTCGAAAAACCAAAAAAAAAAAGTTGACGGGTGGTTCGAGGCCAGCCTGGTCCACAGAGTGAGTTACAGGACAGTCAAGATTGTTATACCAAGAAACCCTGTCTCATAAAACAAACAAACAACAAACAAAAACAGCCTTATGAATTTTTTATGCTAGACAAATGATGGGGTCAGCCCCACTATTCTTGCTACAAAATCCTTTTTACATGTTACTGAATTTTACTCTGCAACACTTCATTAGTTTCTATGGGGTTAGATGACCTCCAGTTTATGTACTGCTTTAACTCTGCTATAATGCAGGTTTTTATTAACATGTACTAATCGTACAAAGTAATGATTTTTGCCTTGATTCAGGCAGTCACATAGCCAGGGATGGCCTTTATTTTTCTCACTTATGCAGCTGAGAATTACCTTGAACTCCTGATCCTCCTGCCTGTACATACCAACTGTTGAGATTTGTACACCATTTCACTATTGCCTGCCAAATTAGTGGTTTCACCATGATATTTTCATATATTTCTATGTCCTGTTTAGCTCACACTTAACTCTTCTCCATCTGTACTCCCCCTGGCATCCTTCCCAGTCTCTAACAGTCTCTCTACTACATTAGGGTCATCATTTTTAAAATTTCTGCTTATGAAAGAATGCATATAGCCCGACACACACCTTTAATGTCGATATGCATTAAATAGACAACAATAGGTAGATCTCATTGAGTTCTGGGTCAGTCTGGTCTGCAAAGTGAGTTTCAAGACTACACAAAGGCAGGAGACAGAGGCAGGCGAATCTCTGTGAGTTCGAGACCAGCCTGGTCTACCAAGCAAGTTCCAGGACAGACTCCAAAACAATACAGAGAAACCCTGTCTCAAAAAAACCAAAAAAAAAAAAAAAGACTACACAGTGACTAAAAAAAATGCAGATGACACTTGTCTTTCAGTGTTCAACTAAGTCGTAATGATGTTTTGTAGTTCATCTTTTCTTTATCATGGCTAATGGTCCATTGTGTATGTTTATCATATTTTTATTTGATTATTTTTTGTTTGTTTTTCAAGACAGGGTTTCTCTGTGGCTTAGGAGGCTGTTGTTTCTTTTTTTTAAAAAAGATTTATTTGTGTGTATGTATGTATCTGTGTGAGTATATGTCACATGTATGTAGGTGTGGTTGGAAGCCAGAAGAGGGTGCTGAGTCCTTGGAACTGGAGTTGCAGGTGATTGGGAGCTGCCATGTGGGTGCTGGGAATCAAATCCAGGTCCTCTGGAAGAGCAGCCAGTGGTGTTAATTACTGATTTATTTCTCCAGTCCCCTGGCCTGACCTTTTATGTGAGTTTTGGGGTTCAAACCCAGGACCTCATGCTTGCAAAGTAATCACTTAACTGACTGAACCATCTCCCCGACTTTCAGTTTTTGAAGGATAGCTTTGTTGGTCATAGAGCTTGCTCACTGACGGGTTTTATGTTTCCTTCACACTCTGAATGTTATTTTATCACTTCCTTGATCTTTTATGAGTCTTCAGCTATAAACTTTATTGTTGTTCCCTTAATGTTGGTGAGTCATTTTTTTTCTTTCTGCTTTCATGGTTTTTCTGTCTTTGACTCCCAGCTATTTGATTATGGTGTGTACAAGTGTGGTTCTGCCTGTTTTAGAGATTCTGATTTCCGGGTCTTTCTTGGCGTAGAAACTCGGGGGCTGGTGAGGGAAGGACAGTGCAGGCCACCACAAAGCTGATGGTGCTGAGGCAGCACTCCTTTCTTAGCATAGCTTTGCTTTCTCCATTTCATTGGTGAACAACTTTTTTATTTGGCGCTCTTAGTGATAGTATTCACTCTATTTGGTCCTTTTGTGTCAGAAATACTTGCCTTTGTCCTAGGTTATTTGTGTACATCACAAATGGTTAAAGATATTATGTGCCAATTATGTGCTGCACCAATTACAGAAATAAGGAATGTAGTAACTTAGCCTATGTTTTCATTACTTGTTCTATATTTGTACAGACTTTTCCCTCTTAAAAAATACAATCTTTGCCGGGCGTTGGTGGCGCACGCCTTTAATCCCAGCACTCGGGAGGCAGAGGCAGGCAGAGATAGAGGCCGGGCTGGTCTACAAGAGCTAGTTCCAGGACAGCCTCCAAAACAATACAGAGAAGCCCTGCCTCAAATCCCCCCCCCAAAAAAAGAAAAAAAAACAAGCTTTTAGATGGTAATATCACTATTTAGTGTTA